TAATGTAATGTAATATAATGTAATATAATGTAACGTAATGCAATCTAATTTAATATAATATAATATAATATATAGTATAATATATAACATAATATAGTGTAATATAATATAGTATAAAATATAATATAATATAATGTAATATAATATAATTTAATGTGATATAATCTAATATAATATGATATATTTACATACAACATATATATATATACATACACATACAATATGCATATATATATATATGTATGTATATATATATATATACAACATATCTTGCAAATAAATATGGTCAGAGATGGTTGGTTAAGTACTGTTATGCCGCAAAAAAAACTGCCCAGAGGGACGACAAGTGCAACTGGCCTGGTGCCTTGGGATGGGCCCTTGGGGCAAGTTAAAACCTCCATTCCTAGCTGTTTTTTGCCAGGCTAGAAAAAAACCTCCAGTTGGAGGAGTTCCCAGCCAATCTGTACCATAAACACCAGTTCCAGGTGAGTCTATCACCATTCAGTTTGAGGATTTCTATCACCATCTATCACGATAAACCCACCCTAAAGGTTGTATTTTGGTCATGAAGCATCCCAGTTTGAGGTGAGTCTCAAGTTCTGGCAGGAACTCTCTTCAGCGACTCGGCAGCGTTGTTGTGGCTCTGGGAAAAATGACGAGAATCCAAAGAAATCAAGGATGTTCAATAGCAAAATGATCCAATTTGGCATGATACTGTGGGTGCCCCCCATGTCAAGAAGCCTTCGTACATATAAATCATAAATCAATTGTAGGTGTGTGTGTGTGTAAATATATACATCGATATACATATACATACATATACATGCAAATACTTTTGAAATAGATGCTTGAGGTTTACACGTAGTAAAAACGGATTAGGTAGGTAGATAGATAGGATAAGATAGGATAAGATAGGATAAGATAGATAGAATAAGAGAGATAGGTTAAGATGGATAGGTTAAGACGGATAGAATAAGATAGACAGAATAAGATAGATAGAACAAGATAGATAGAATAAGATAGATAGAATACGATAGATAGAATAAGATAGAATAAGATAGAATAAGATAGATAGATAGATAGATAGATTGATAGATTGATAGATTGATAGATTGATAGATTGATAGATTGATAGATTGATAGATTGATAGATTGATAGATTGATAGATTGATAGATTGATTGATAGATTGATAGATTGATAGATAGATTGATAGATTGATAGATTGATAGATTGATAGATTGGTAGATTGATAGATTGATAGACTGATAGATTGATAGATTGATTGATAGATTGATAGATTGATAGATTGATAGATTGATAGGTTGGATCGATTAGATCGATTAGATCGATTAGGTCGATTAGATCGATTTGATCGATTTGATCGATTTGATCGATTTGATCGATTAGATCGATTAGATCGATTGGATGGATTGGATGGATTGGATCGATTGGATTGATTCGATCTGTTAGATAGATTAGATAGATTAGATAGATTTGATAAATCAGATAGATTAGATAGATTAGATAGATTAGATAGATTAGATAGATTAGATAGATTAGATAGAGTAGATAGATTAGGTAGATTAGCTAGATTAGCTAGATTAGCTAGATTAGCTAGATTAGCTAGATTAGCTAGATTAGATAGATTAGATAGATTAGATAGATCGATAGATGGATGGATGGATGAATGGATAGATAGATAGATAGATCGATCGATAGATCGATAGATCGATAGATCGATCGATCGATCGATCGATCGATAGGTATGTAGGTATGTAGGTAGGTAGATAGGTAGATAGGTAGATAGGTAGATAGACAGACAGTCAGACAGACAGACAGACAGATAAATAGATAGATTGAGAATCGCTTGGATACGATAAATAGGATAAAATGGATAGTTAGTTAGCTAGCTTGGTAGATAGTTAGACAGAAAGATAGAAGAAACTATACTTGTCATGTCAATCAAATTAGTAGCTGGGATGCACATCCAAGTAGATGGCCAAGTTTCTGCTTTTTGGTTGATGAATATAGCAAGGTCTTACCCATGTTCCATCATTTTCCCAGACTTCATTGATACATTGGGTCAACTTGGTCAATCAATGTTTGTGTTTGTTCCCAGAAATTCAATCAACAGCCCTACTGAGCGACATTGCCCAGCAGTGGGGGACACCGAACGGGAACACGAGTTCAGTTTGTCCTGGTGGAGACGTCAAAAAGGGTTAGACAAAGCACGGAAAACATGAAAACACCTCAGCATTCCGTTTCATGCTAAAGACACTTGATGTGCACGAGCACCAATTTTATGCATTTTACCCAATTAACTAAAATGCGACGATTTACTCGTTGATTTACTCGTTTTTGTACCTTCATTTTTTATCAACAATCCTTCCTTCCATAACCTCAAAGGATCTCACCATGAATGTTTGAAGTTGGAAAAGGGCACTAAAGCAGTGCATGCAAAGACGGCAACAGCATTTAGAACCCACGCAGAACATCAAATTCGGAACAAAATTGGAAGTTTGTTTATCAATCAACATCACCCAATGTTAGAGATCGCGCATTAGTTTATTCTGTGTAGGAAAAGAATTGTTCCTAACGCGATGAATTTCGATACCACGAGTCTTGGGAACTGCACCCGCCGCATCAGTTTATGGGCGATTTTTTTCGAGCTGAGGAATATGTGGAGACTCTGAGCGCAGAAGCTGACATCCAAGAGGCCTCTGGGACAAATGGCGCATGGTTTTGAACTTATTGCTGCAATGAGATCTTAATTGTCGGATGCCGAAGGCACAGAATCACAACAGCACAAAAGTTTTATAGTCATTCTGTTCTGTTCGCACCGTTTATTGGCGGTATTTGGCGGTAAAATTTCGCTAATGTTTGGATTGAACAACTTGATAAAACCACCGTTGGAGAATAAAACTCGTTCAAAACTGCGGTGAATTCTATGGGGGTATACCCTATGACTCCTTACATATCCTTACATGATATATTCAACAAATGGCGATCAAGTGGTTTCAAGCCGTTATACATGAAACGTCATTAATATGAGCTGTAATGCTCATGAATGTGTAACCCCATTACAATGTACACCCTGGGTGATTATTTGATGTGTTTTGCGGTGACCTTCATCAAAATCAGCCAGGGTTTATCGATCGGCAATTACAACTCCTGTTGTACCGCATTTTACCTTGTCATCCGAATGGTTGGTCATCAATATGTTGCGTCCTCTCGTTGGACGTGCAACCCTATCTGGTTGGTGGTTTGGAACATGAATTTTATGACTTTCCATATATTGGGAACAATAATCCCAATTGACCAATAGTTTCCAGAGGGGTTGAAACCACCAACCAGCTATGATTCTGCCAGTTGCTCATCATCTCGTTGCAAAGCATCACAGTTGGCCATTCAAGGCGGCTCCCTTCCTGCTGAGCACTGGCCGCAGTTCTGCGCTCGCATCTCGACCATGGATTCATGAGTGAATTGTAAGCCACGACATTGCAGATATACAATATCCATCAATATCCATCAGTATCCCAGTTTATTTCCATTTGGGTTTTTGAACAGTGGAATAGAGATTGAATAGAGTATATATATATATATACCACTAGGCATACATGACTTGGCGTTAAGCAGCATGTGAGCTAAAGCATTCGATTGTTGACACCACAAGTGTCAATTGTTTATGAGCTGCAAGTCCTTTGATGCTGACCCAATTCCCCTGTGCAACAGCTGAATTTATATGGATATCAGTGCAATCTTACTGTACATACACCGGGGCCAAAATCCATGGCACGGCTGCTTGCATCAAATGCCATCAACAAACGCCACATTTTTCTGAAGGCTGAAGCAGATGTTTCATGATGCTTCCTCTGATTGAGTCTTGAAATTAGGCTAAGTTCGGGATCCATTGCCCCGACCCCAGGTCGATGCCTTCATTGGACGGGGTGATCTTGATCATGCCTTCGTGGCCGCTCGATGGTTTGCGGGTTGAGGGTTGCTACGAATCATTCCATATTTGTATATTTAGGATAGGCAAGGCAATCCCTCATCTTGAGCAAAGAAAAATCAAGATTACTGGTTTTGGTGTGGATTGGTTGGTGTGGATTTGAGTACTCCCACCAGTAAATAGCAAACTTATGTGTTCAACAGTCCCTGCAACTTCAGTCAGTATAAATCAGTATAAACTGGCAAATTTGGAGGAATTTGCAGGTCTTGCTTTCTAAATAATTGTAGAAATCAAATTCAATTGTTGCGTTCTGGCCCAAGTGCCGCAATTGTTTGAAATCGTTGTTGGGTGGTCTGACAGCTCTATACATACATCTGTATGTCATATGTGCATTAATGTATATGTATATACATGTATATATAGATAAGTACTTAATGATTACATATAATTACATACAAAATTGTTTTCAACAGTTCTTTGCATTCTGTTCGGACTTTGACCGCCACTCGACTTTTTTATCACAGCTTTCAGGGGCCCAAGGGTCAGCGGAGTGAGGTGGCGAAAGCCGAATGTGATCAGCTGCTACCGACTCAGCTGTCCGGAAGCAGCCTGGGTGTCCCAGTGCCATGACTTGGGTTCTTGGTTGGGTGGACTCAGCGTCATGGGGAGAGACATGGGGAGTTCGGGGATGACGAAGATCCTGAGTGTTTCGAAAAACCTAGAGTACATCGTGTGATTCTGTGCTTCCTGGGGAGATGTGAGCATAAATTTGATGAATAAAAAAGCAACTTTAGTGTCAGAGATGTCCCAGTCCTCCATGAAGCTCATGTGGATTGAGTGACATCTAAGCGCAGTTGCATCATTGTCATGGTCAAATCCCAAAGGATATGGATGGCACCCAGAGGCTTGGGGGGCGCCCTATGGAGTGGGTCAAATCCCTGGGCCACCTCCATGTTTGGTGGTTACATGATCATTTTTGTTCAGTTGATGAATGGTAAAAAAAAACTCACGGAATTGGGAGCACCAGGTAATTTTTGCTACAAGGAAACCTATATTTGATAGGACAGCCACATGATTTCCTGTAGATTCCCCTCAAACCAATCTAATGAATAACTACATGTTTGCGGGTTTATCAGTTACCCCATTGAATTCAGGTTCCATGTTTAATTTGGTGGCTAAAACTATGTAAAGCATTGTAAAACTCTGCAAACCACTATGTAAAACTGTAAAAATTGGCAAAACTCGGTAACATATTCGTAAAACTAGATAAAGACCATCAACAGATGGGGGTTTGATGGAATGTCATGATTTTTTCCCATCCTTTGGGCGATCGAAGCTCCATTCAGGTCAGCCTCCAGCACCAAAGCCGCCGCCCAGCGACGATGCCAGGGCCAAGTTGGAGGATTTGGGTGGCTTTTCACCCATCAACGGGTGCGTTTTACACAGGGAATGGATGGGTTGCTGGGGGTTGCTGGGATGATGAAATTGAATATTATTGATAGTTAGCCAGTGGATCATTCCCGAAAATTCCCTGCGTTTAGAACCCGTAAGGAATGGTGAGCTAAGCTATTACTCGGTTGGTGGTTTGGAGTTTGGAACATGGCTTTTATTTTCCCCAATAGTTGGGATGATGATCCCAATCTGACCAACTCATATTAAAATGGTGAGGAAAACCAATCAAACATGGTGATGTTTCACTGATTTAACCCATCAAAGTATCAATGATCGTATGAAATAGGACTTTTTAACCAACCAGAAATAGGATTCGTATGGATTCATTGAGATTTGCTGAGACTTTTGCGATCTAGCGCGTAAAAAGCCGAGGATATCATGCGGATTCACCATGTAGAATTGGATAACGAAAACTAGGGCATTGGAGCAACCAATAATTGTGGAAATCGTGAAGATGCCATGTGGTTTTTGTTGATGTATCATGATGGTAGGGCCATCCAAAACTTGTGATTAATTTGGGTGGGCCTTGTTGTCAGCGCAAGAAACTGGCCTTTCCTCATATTTTACAGACAGGTATTGAGATGTGAAAACACATTAATGTTCCCTTAAATTTTCATGTCAGTGTAACACATCTAACCAGCATTAACCAGCCAAGTTTGGGGGAGTTTGAAAACAGACAATCAGGAATTTGACCAGCCAAGAAGTGGTGCTGAAAAATTCGTTCAACCAGTACCAAAGCCAGGCTTTCACCCGGCAGAAGCCAAAAATATGTGGTATGATGAACATCCAGCTTCTGTTGTTCAACGAGTTCCAGCTATATTATGCTATATTAAATGTTGATGTTCAGGCACCAGTTTTGATCCATAGCCATGTCGCCAACGTGGTAGAATTTCAAGCACTCGAATGGGCCATTTTGGATTCATTCACAGGGGGCGGTTGTAACTCAGTTTTGTATTAACCAACGACGGCAAAACGAGTGAGCTATGAGCTATACAAAAATACCAATGTTGATTGCTTGTTAAAGGGTCGTGTGAAAAATCCCAACAGCTATATAATTGGATGACTTGGACTACTCTCCAGTAAATTAACATAGACCCTGGCAGATAGGGTTAGAAGATTAGTTTTAACTAAACAGTGACTATTTTCAGGGTCTATGTTAATTTGCCAGAGGGTATATGAATTATAAGACCCATGATACAATGGTGATTACAAGAACTCATGGAGGACGTCGCCTCGGTCTTGGCACGGAGACATGCTGAGATGGGCGAACCCCTCTTGGCCGGGGACCCGGGCCCAGGTGTTTCTGTTTCAATCCTCATGTTGTGGTGATGGGCATGTTTACTTTCATTTTTTCGGGCACTTGTGGCTGCTTCTTGGAGCAACTTCCTATCCAATGTGGTTTCTTGGAAGCTGTTTGTGTTGCTCATTTGCTAATTCAAATGGTTAGAGTGATGAATAGAAGGGGACGGGCATCCATGAATCAAAAGAATCGTAAATAACCAACATGAGGGAACTGGTGCAGGTTATACAGATAACAATAACACGGCATATTTTCATTTGAGGATATGAGATCTCACGCGATAATGTTTGGTTTATAGGCTAACAGGTAAACAAATTGCTGGATCCCTAGCCTGGCCCAATCTGCACATGTCTCCCAGTGGACAACAAGAATAGCGCGTTTTGATATTTCTGGGGTGTCTCAACCACCTTAAAAATGGCGGCATCCAAAAGTCCAAATCTAAACCCTTAAAAAAAGCCTCAATGGCGAAGCATGGCAAAACTCATGACTCTCAAATACTTACGCAATGTCAAGGTCAAACAGGTCTCTTTCATGACTTTCCAGGGTCGAAGCTGCTGCGTACTATCTTACTGTAGTTGCTGACTTCAAGAGTCCTATGGGGCCTGACAGATCTTCGTCGCCATGGCATCGCACAATTGGGAGTCTAGATGAGTCTAGTGACTTTCTCTGATCAAATGGAGCTGGATTTTGAGGGTTCCCACTTGTTGGTCATGTCACCTCAATCTGTCGTATTCACTTGGCACCAGCGGCTGATTCAATGCTTTGGATACATTTCTTGCTGCATAAACCAGGTGTGATTCTCATATGCGGCGGAATTATCTCCCATGAATTCAACATGAACGTTTCAATAGCTTTCCTACTGAATTTGGCATTCAGGAAAATTTACAGAGACAGAAACTCCTGAAAAAAGGTGCCTATAAAGAACGGACACTAGGGGCGATTCAAGGTAAACCCCACCTCGTTTCCATCCAAAACCCCATTTCATACCCAGTCAAATCCCAACTTGTTTCCAAATCTCCCCATCTGAGTGGTAGATCTTGGCAGGGCATCAACTTGCACGGATTCACCAAAACGATATACAGAACATGGCTGGAACAATTTGGGGTAAAAATCACCACCAAAATTCACAGGGATGACCAAAAAATGGGGGGATTTTGGGGGCCAACTCTCCAGCTTTCCACCTGCCATGCGCCATGTTAGCCAGCATCTTTGGGCGCCGAAAAAGCGCCGCGCGACGGAGTGCGATCCGAATCCCCGCGGCGGCTGCAGAAGTGGAGCCGGACGAGCAGCAAGAGCAGCGTGAAGCGGCAAAGAGGAGTGCTCGTTGGGCCCGTTGATTGATGATCATAAATGTATATAAATGTGGGAAATACAATGCCATAAACCGTCCCTAAAATCACCATACATGGGTATAAATGGTGTTTCAACTTTAATTTCAAATATCAGAATATTACCAGAGTAATACGTAATATGTATATTTACACTGTAACATTTTATATAATACGTCAGCCCCGAAGTAATACACTCCTAGGCTGTTTAATTGGAGGGACTAACCAGGGTTCATCAATCCAGGGTTGACACTGAAGGGTCATCATGGTCATGAATCATCCAGGGTTTATTGTGTTTGTCAAAAATGGTTAATAGTGGTTAATAATGGTTAATCATTGTTAATAATGGTTATATAATGGTTATATAACGGTTCATTATTGTGTTTGATACCCTTGAACTATTACCCTTGTACCATTCTTTTTAAAGGTGTAGATAGCCAGCTACAAATATCATCAACAAACAAAGGGGGGTACTGTACAACCCGCAAAACAAGGGTCATGTAAAGAATCAAACTTGTCAACGCGGTTGAATTTCACCATTTTTTTTACTTCCAACAATGGGTAATGTTAGTAAAGCAATCCTGTAGTACATCACACCCAATTTTACCTCACATGGGTGGTACAAACCATCCAAACCTTCGTTCTTTTTTCTTGTTTTACTAATATTGCAGAGCCAATTGGCTGGTTGGTGGTTTCATACATGTTTTAGACCGCTCGTTGTGATGACGCCAATTGACACATGGAAGCTCTGCTTGGACATCTCCAACCAGGATGGAGATGGGATCTTCCCAAGTCCCAAGGTGAAAACACACGTCATGGCCACGGGTTGTAAGAAAAAAGACCTCCAATTGATTGTAGATAAGCATCCCATATCATCGCATGATAGTCTGTTCTGTTAATTTTTCTGGGATTGTCTAGTGTCATTGAGGTTTTGACCCATCCCTACATTAGCTTGTGTGGCTGATGGTGAAAGATCGAGGTGGTCCTGCTTTAATGATGATTATTGTAAGCAAAATATCATGCTTGCCCGGTAGGGGGTCAAAAACATAAGAGCAACAACTTAGTAGATTACATCACTAGATGTTTTTTAGTTAGTTAGTTTGAAATTGTCATTTTACTGTTTGGTCTCCAAGCATTGCAGATGTATACGTAGATTTCTAATGTCAATCCAAAGTTCCAATTCATTTCACTCCCTGATTTCATGTGATTTTCCATCTGATTTTCCATGATTTTCCATGATTTTCCATGATTTTCGATCCCTCCTCGCTTCCAGAAAGCGCAAGCGCAGCAGCGCCGCAGCACCGGCACCGACCCAAGCACCGGCCCCGCGACGCAGCGCCACCAGTGGCGCGGCGCGGCGGCGTCAAGCCAAAGAAGCGGCGGCCACAACCAATGGCGTGGAGGCGAATGGTCAAACCCAGTCCCCAAATAAAATGATTATATAATGATTGTATATAATGGTTAGATAATGGTTAGATAATGGTTATACAATGGTTATATAATGGTTATATAATGGTTATAGTTATATGATGATTGTTAATGATTGTTAATGATTGTTAATGGTTGTTAATGATTGTTAATGATTGTTAATGATTGTTAATGATTGTATACATACGGGAGTTCCCCAAGTGATGGTGGTACCCCCAAATCATCCAAGTCATGAACGACCATGACGACTCGTATTGAAACCACCATGGTGACTTGGAGATCCCCAACTTTAAGAAACCTCCATGCGGGGATACGTTAACAATCATTGACTGTTAAATAATGATTACTGTATATAATTTCATAGAAGCATCAGACAACATGATTCTAAGAACTGCTTCGCTGCGACGTCACTGGGATGGCGATGATTGGGGCAGCTATGGCGAAATTGCCTTATTTCAGGTTGGTGATTTTCTATCTGTGAGACAGAATGATGGTTATGATATGTTTTAACCGTGAATAAACGGGCAGGGATACTTGGGGACTTCGGGAAAAAGTGGGAGTCTTCTCATGTGGTGTGTGTGTGTGTGGTTCATGTTGTGCTGGTTCAAGATTGTTTAACATATACCGGTTGGTGGTTTGGAACATGTTTTATGTTCCACAATATATGGGAAAATCCTTCCCAATTTTCATATTTTTCAAGATGGTAGGTCAACCACCAACCAGATTTAATTACTAACCATCATTAACCATATATTATTAACATTTATTAACCATATATTAACCCATTTTTTGAGTTAGCATATATTTTGAGTTGAAGCCATCACCCCCTTTGAGTTATTCCCATCACCAGGTGGCAACAGCGGCAACGGCGGCAACGGTGTCCACGTCCCCTGCCATCCCAGCTGTGCTCGCCGTGGCAGCTCCTGGGGATGAACATTGGATCCGGGTGAAGATCAAACTTCTTATGGAATTCTGTATCAAATTAGATTATGATCAATAAACATCAAGCGGTTGTTTTTGTTCCTTGGAATTTTGGATAAAATAGAAATTTTACATCACTGTTCAACGGATTCTCGTGGTTAAGTCGTCCATGGGGAAGATGTTTTGCAGTGCCAAAGCCGAACCTGTACCCTCCATGTATTATGGTATATTTGCCTCCCTAAACGGGTCCCGATGGGTTCTGCTTGTAAATAGGGGAATTAAGCTATGACAGATGACCATACATAATTACATCTGTATTTAAATACTTTGAAATGGTGTAAATCAATGTATATAAATCATATATATGATACATATATATATATACGTGTGTGTGTGTTCAACTTGTAAATCCTTTATGATTCCGCATAAATCCATAACGTCAGGTCTTTGGAGACACCACGCTGGAGCCATGGGCATCTCGGATGTGGCGCTACTTAGGGGCCCCACTTAGGATCCCTATCCGTGGTTTATAATCCATATATAAGCCATGTTTCATCCCATAATAGGGGATACTTGTAATATTCAATCTAAAATTGTTTTTCATCCATTTATGGAGTTTTTTAAAAAAAAAGCGGCACCCCCAAGTAGTTGGATTTTATAAGGGCAGAAGCATCTTGGCCTTTTGAACTTTCTACATATCATTATTATTGGAAATAACTATGAAAATGGTGGTGATTTTTTGATTGTGATTATTATTATTATATACTACTATTATCATTAGCCTGTTTTAAAAAAAAGAAACTAGATCATTATTATATACATGATTACATATTACTATTGGACATAATTACGTGATTCTTTTTGGAGTACAGCAGGAACAGTGGGAAATCTCCATGCTGATGGTTGTTTTTGTTTGGAACATCATGTCAATTTTGCTTTATCTCTACATTGGGCATTCTTATAATGTGCCCATGATAAGAAACAGCTGTTTTGGGTTTGGCTCATAAAGTGCCCCAACCGAAAAAAAATGGGGGAAGTTGGGACGGTCTACTATTTGGTGTCCCACATTCGTGTGACAGTACACAGTGTGGGAACCGTCAAATATTGGAGGACATTTGGATATATTTGGTCAGAAACAATCAATCAATTGATCCAAATACTTGGGTCTACTCATTTTTGCATATATTATTTGGGAACCATCAAATATTTCGAGGACATTGAGCCAAAGGTCAGTCGTTTCCTGCCGCCATTCGCTGAACGAGTTTCTATGAAAATTTTCAGAGTTTTCAGTGGGATGGCACCTAAATTTCTTGGGGGAATCGATCAAGACATGAATTACAAATGCCACCAAAACATGAGACATGAGTCATAATTATATATTGGTTCTGACTTGGTTGCAACTGATAACTCTTTCGGATAATGAGTGCACAAATTGTCCTTGCCATTACTCTCTATGGTCACAACTTGAAATAGCCCTCAGTCAAACTTTGATTCTGAGAGGCATTTTCACTCTGGCACTATGCTAGTCTGGATGCACAGCATGAGCCTGGTCATTGTCGTCATCGCCATCACCATGACCAGATCACCATCATCACCATTCTCATAATATCTACCTCCACAACCTCCACAACCTCCACAACCTCCACAACCTCCACAACCTCCACAACCTCCACAACCTCCACAACCTCCACAACCTCCACAACCTCCACGGTCCATCCATCATCTGAATTCATCTGAATTCATCTCAGATCATGTTGAAACATGTGTTTTATCTGGATCATATTTTTTCCATAATCCATCTTGAATCATCTTACATAACTATTCTGAAAAATCGTCTCAGTTCAACTTACATCAGTTTGAATCATCTTCAACTTGCTCATAAATATTCTTAAATCGTCTCAGTTCAATAAATATTCCCAACCATACCGGGTCCTTCTTCCAAGACCACCTTTGAACTGCTGAAGGGAGGAGGGAAGTCCCTCGGCAGATCCGGTACAAGCGGCCCTGGGTTGGGAAATCCCTTACGCTGTATATTTATTTACATGTATACATATTTGTATAATATATATATATATACACATGTATGCGTATAGATATATATATATACATACATACACATGTGTATATATATATATATATATATATATATATAATTGTATATAATTATGTGTAATTATGTATATAATTATATATTTAATTAAACATATAATTATATATATAATTTTAATATATATATATGAAAGTGAAACGTGGCAATGGGAAATCCCTGAAAAATGATTGTGTTAATCGGAAAATGAACAAATTGGTGGATTTTCCATTGCCACGTGTGATTACCAGAGGGTAAACTCTACTCTATCAGGGACTGGAAAATGAGTAGATCCAAGTCAATAGATTTTACCAGGAAGGGCTCAATTAGTTGAATCGTTTCTGGCCATGTTGATATATGTTGAATATGTTGATGGTATATTGACCTACTCAACCTTGTTGTTGGTATCGGTGCAAACTTCCTACAGATCCTGACTTCCTTGAACCCGCACAAACTTGGGATTGACCATAAGAGCTTCACCTATCAGGTTTGAATATAAAACTTGTGCTCTTGCACTTCAGAATTTGTTGGCTCAAAACCCGTCGGTCCAGGTAAAGCTTCAGGGTCAAGCTACACCATGGGTCATCCATGGCAGGTTCCCACAGATCCTGACTTCCTACATGGCCAAGTTCAAGGCCTTCAAGGTGTCCTGGACCGACTTGGCCCAGGACCATGGGGATTTTGTAGCGTTTGGGTTGTATAAATGAGTTCTACCCTCTGGTTATGTCAAACATAGCTATTGAAAATGGCCATTTATAGTTGATCTACCCATTCAAATGGTGATTTTCCATAGCTATGTTAGTTTGCCAGAGGGTATATCTACTAAAAAATGTGGAACTGCACTTTCAAGTACTCCTCTTCGTACTCTGAAACAATGAATTTTCAGACAATAACGATGCGCGACGGATTAGATTTGAGCCACCGGGTGCAGTACCTACAGATGATTTGTTTTTTTTTGCCGCCATCCAATTGTGGGGCACCTCCATTCTGATCCATACCCTTTAATTTTTCGGGTTGGTCCAAGAGTGTGGGTTGATTTCATTGACAAGACTACGACTGCATGGCATGAACAAGAGTGGATGAAGGGGATGGATACAAGTAAGTGGAGAAGCTGATATGAATTTCAAGAGATTATTTCACTGCATGAACCCAGAATTCCAATGGCTGCCCCTTTGGCGGACCTGATCAAGACGCTTTTCCCACAGCTATTGGGTTCCGCCCAGGAACCCACGGCTATCCAAGCCCATTGCTGGCCGTACGCCTGCGCTGGGCGACATGTCATTGGCATCTCCAAGACCGGTTCCTTGGGCGATTTGGGGGTATCCCAAACGATCCCATGTTTGGTATCATATGAAATAGTCCAGGAGTATTTACATTGATATGTATATATATATATGTATATGTATTATATATGAGTATTATATGTGTGTATATATATATATTATGAGCTTGTTTTAAAAACAATTAGGTACCGTAAACCGCTTTGTTTGAAGAATATTTCATAGCTAGAGTAATCCCCGAATTGTCCTGGTCTTATCACAGGATATATAGATCATCCTCATGGAGCCTGGATTGTTTCGATGTCGCAGATCGCAAATCCAAGTGGTGTAAAACACAATGGAATTGCAACTAGTAACAAAGACGTTTGTGATATGTGTAAGATATGTGTATATATGTGTGTTGTTTCTGAATGGCTTTGAGATGTTTGACTTATAAGTGTTTGATCAATCTGGGCCAATCATATGCTAGACTCCTAGACAAACACATCCAATTTTCAAGGATATTGAAAGCAAATGCTGCACAAATCCCAGCTAAGGCAGTGGGAAGACGTTGGCATTTCTGCTGCCAGCTTTGCGCAAGGTTTTGAGCTTCAAGCATGCGCCCAGTCTCAAAGGATCTGAGCAACGGCTTTGATTTCCACAATATGCTGTTCCATACCGAGATGGGGAATATCCCAAAGTGCTTGAGTCGGGTCGGAAAAATATGTTTGTCCATGCTTGAAAGTCCATACACATATGTATATATATATATATACATACTGATATACTGATATACTATCCTAAATTTTGTAGTTTCATAACCCGGTGCGCTGATGCTTTATTGCTGGCCCATGGGTAGCGTGGGATCCTTGGGCATCATGGTGACACAGCTTACGCCTCAGGATGTCCAGTTTCAAATATGGACTCTGGAACCAGATCGCAAGGGGGAATCACCTATGTTTCATGATTTTTCCAGATCTCACTGGAATCATTGACTGCACCATCATTTACCATCATTTACCATCATTGACACCCACAGCCACTGATCCTCCAATTAAAACGTCGTTGTGTCCGGTCGCAAGGCCGCAACGCCCTCCTTTGGTCCCTACGCACTGGTCTTGACGCCCACAAGGTGATTCGACGTGGAGCAGGTGAAATGAGGACGTGACCTATAGTCACCTACATTGCTTAGTGGTAAACAAATAGATAATATGATATATCTATATATGCATTATATATATATATATATACAAGTATGCATTATATATATACATATATATATATGTGTGTGTGTGTATGCATGTATGATACATGATGCTAGTTATTTCTAGTATGTGGGAATGGCTCACAAGTTTCTGATGCCAAAGAATTGGATTTCTTCCGGCATCAGGCACCACCGGGCTGGGAACTCACTCCTGTAGGATCTATATGAGATTTTGGTGTGTAGCTTTAGAGGTATTAGAATGATATATGTATGCGTTTCTCCATTACATATCAATTAGATATATATGTGTGTGCATATATAAGTGTAGATCTATTATATAAATACACATGTCCATACATGTCCCTTTTTGAATTCACGGTTTCACCCATGGGCAACGGGAAAGCCACAAGCCACAGGGTTTCTTCCAGGGAATTAGCCATTCAGATCGCTCGCGATGCGACCGGCCTTTGCAAGGCGCGATGGCTGTGGGGTGGGGCCGGTGGGGCTCATGAGGTTTCTCCAACAAGACGGGGGATAGCATTTTTGTTGTGTTGATCATGGAAAAATAGCAATGATATGCTTATGTTATAACAATCACAATAATGATATGATTATAGCATATGTTTTTTTTCAGTGGTCGAGTCTTAAATAATTCGTCGACTGGACAGGCCACAAGGATCCGAATGGCTTGTCTCTATGGTGGAACTTCCAAGGCTCAACAGTTTCTTGGCAAAGAAATTCTGTTGCTTTAAGGGATACCAACAGAAACTTCCCATGCTGCCCCAATATTTTCTTGAGCTCAACATAGCTCAACCACAAATGAGATTCGAGTGCTGAATTCTGGTGTGCTTTGTAATTGGAACCACATGGAATGAGACCAATTGCAGACTTGTTTCCTAAAAAAAACTTTGAGTAGGAAGTCGTCAAGATTTTTCCGACGCGTTGGTCGATGAATTTGTCACAAATTGTGGTAGTTGCAATGATTTGACCATCCTTTACGTCCTTCCAACGTCGAGGTTTCATATGCAACTCTGTTGACCCAAAATCGATGGTGAATCTGGTCACCCGTAAAAGTGAATCTGGTCAAGTTCTGATTAGGTGGTTCAATCATCAACCATAGGGATTTACAGTGACCATCCAAGCAGCGGCATTGAAGGAGCCATCTGATTAGGTAGTCTAGTCATGTCTAGTTCAAGTCTGGATCTAACAGTTTTACTGGGGGGTTCTATAGGCAGGTCGGAGACACTTTCCCAAATAGATTTAAATAGGAAGATTCATGGGCATCATAGCCCACCAATTGAGCAAAACGGCGACATTTGATTGAAGATGATTGAAGTTTGAAGACATGCGGTAAACCAAAAGCCATCAGCCATATCCAATTTTGCAGTATTTCACAATAGACCTCCCATGTTTGTGTTTTTTCTTTGGGAGGTGTCACCTTCTCTGGATATGGGATATGATTTACCACATGATCCCCCAATGTTTACCATGCGACTTCCAAAGACCTGGGGGTTACCAAAGAAAAAGGTCGAGCTGTTCCTTGAGGGGACGACCTCCAGAAAACTGGGAGCCATCCTTCTCCGGTAATGCTATATAGACATTGAAAAACTATGAAAAACTTTACTTCAATCCTGGATCTATTCGGATCTTTTCGGGGCTTTTCCTGAATTTGGTTTCCCAAAATTGAAAACATGACGGCTAAATAAGACATCGCTAGTGTTCCAAAGTCCTGTTTAAAGGTTTAAAACCTCACAAGCACGTTTTCAAGAGGTGTTTGGAAGTATTATATTGATTGTGCATTTCCGGATGGTTATATATATATAATAATATATAATAATATATGATAATATATAATAATATATACTAATATATAATATATGATAAATATATGATAGTATATAATAATATAATAATATATAATGATGATATATAATAATGTAGTATTATATACAATTAGAATAATTACTATTTTATATATATATCATGTTGAACCACCCCATCATCGCTGGTTAACTCCCCCCTGCAATGTGGGGGAGAACCTCCCCCAGTTACCAGCGATTGTGATTGCTTTTAAACCATCCAAGTATGTGGATATATCTAGCACAAAGCCTATAGTTATATATATATATAGTTATATAATGTGATATCAGTTTTATATAATGTGATATCAGTTATAAACCAACTTAGCTAACTAAGGATCTGCAACACCACCATTATATACAATCCCATATCCAAGTATAATCCCAGAATATCTCCAGAACATGCTATGAAATCCTATCCAATTAGAAATCATAAATCCAACTAGCCCATCAAGACATCATAAACCCAACATGGGTATCTACCATAAAGCCGTGCCAAAGGTGAGTTATGACCACCACCAGGATCAAATCTCCCATCAAGACATCATAAACCCAACATGGGTATCTACCATAAAGCCGTGCCAAAGGTGAGTTATGACCACCACCAGGATCAAATCTCTGGATTTTGGAGTGGATCTTCTGATCTGCACGCCTGGGCGCTTACATGATCTGGTGAACAAGCCTGACAAGTACACGGGACAGGTGGGGGAAAACAGACATGATTTTTAAACGGGAAACAAACACATGGGAAGATGAGGATATTGTTTCAGTCTATTAGTCGTTATCTTGTTTTTCTGTTTTTTTGGGGGGCATTGTGGTGAGCAGCAGAAAATCGAGTGGTTCTTTCCGAATCAATCCAGATATGAACAGAGCACACTTTTAAGCACATAGTGTTCACCCAACTATGTACCCAAAAGTGCCAAAAATCCATAAGGTTAGGTTTTTATTCGGAAGTTCTTGGATATAATCATCTAGTTCCATGCAATTCCCACGCAAAATCATATTTACAATTCGTGTTTAAGAGTCACCTTGTTATGGATACATCAGGGTAGGCAAAGGATCAAACTTGCACGCACGATCCTTCCACTATTTGTTGCAAAATAGACCGCGTTTGTCTGTCCTAAAGATGCCGGGTGTCCAAAAAAAAGAACAGCCTTCCCTTGAAGGGGAAACATACTTCCATAATATGTAGAATGAGTTTAACATAATAGGTATTCCTGCTTTAAAGTTCCAAAATGTAATATTAAATGCAACAAGGATGTATCCCCTGTTCGTAAAGAAGCATGTGTCATTCATTTGCAATTTTCCTTTGAGAAAGTACAATATTTTCAACAAGCAATACCCCTAAAAAACTATGGAGGAATCCTCTAAAAGATGCAGCATTCCTCAACTAGTCCAGAGGTCAGAGTAGTTGTGAGTGTGGATAGCGTACATTCAGAACGAACTGTCGTGAGCGTGGAATTCTTCATAGAGGTCTTTCCCAAAACTTGAAATCCCTTGCTCACAACAACCCTTTCCGTTTTTTTAATATATAATAAATAAATAAATATATATATATATACATATATCATATATCCGTTTTCATGTTTGTTGATTTTTTCTGACTCATTGTTTTTTGGTTGAAGTTCATGTCCTTGCCTTTCATTTGGGAGAAGGATGCCCAAGTGACCAACCAGTTTTGTTTGACATCTGAAATGTGAGTCTTTGAAGTGGAAGCCAACCAGTAGTACTACGGGTCCTCAGTTCGGATTTTCAATGACACCATGCCATTAGTCTGCCAGCGTGAAAGACACTCATCGTGTCAGAATCAGTACATACATAACCATATGTATATATAGATATATATGTGCAGAAAGGATGACGATTAACAATTTTGAAAACAATAACATAACATTCATAATGTAGCTGTACATGTTATACATGTTGGAGCTGTCACCTTAAATTCATGGCAAAAACTGCACAGTGCTTGGCATCTTGTCACCGCAGTCCATCCTATCGCTGTCCATGGTGCACTTTCTGGTGTTGGACGAGGTGAGCTTGGCTGTAGAATCAACCTAAGCAGTTGTTGCTAAACCCCTGGGAGGCTTGATGATTATGAGGGATACAGTATATGGATTGAATGGGACTTAATGAGATTTAATAGGAGTTAATGGGATTTGATGGGAATACAATGGGAATATCGGAATATCATGAGAGATCATGAGATTTACCCTCTGGTATACTAACTGAATTAACAGATACTACTACTGTAACAGTTTGCTATGCATAATCACCATTTCTACTAGGCAAAGCCGCAGAAATCAAATATTTCTATGGCAACTTTGACTATCTATGTTAAATTACCAGAGGGTATATTGGCGATGATCATAATCCATGAACTGGGAACCCCTTTCAGAACCAGGTAGTATTTTTCGGGACGATGGCGGATGTTGAGCACGAAAAGGGCTAAAATAGTCGAATTTTGCATGATTTGGGTACCACCATTTTAGGAAACCACCATTTCCCTCCACAAGACCAGCTAGCTAGACCATGCTAGACCCCCAATTTTTGATCCCCGTTTGGACCCATTGATGAGCTATGCCCAGCATGGGAGAATTCCGTGTCTTGAGATACGTTGCGACACTTTTGGGATCTCAACATGTCCACTTTGGGATCCTTCAGGCCGTTGGCCCCCGCCCCACCATCCGAAAAGGCCGACTGCCTGTTGGATTTGGGCTTTGAGCACCAGGCACTGCAGTTCCCCACTTGGCGATGGAGGGTATACATTCTCCATATCTCCGAACAAGAACAGTTATACATCCTCCTTCATCACTTTTTGCTTCATCAATGGACAAAACACCTGGGTTTGTCCAAGAATGGGGTATGCCCAAAATTTTAAATCATTATCTTCATACTAGCTTATGTTATCTCATGTTATTTTTCTGTATCCAAATTCAGATGTTTTCACATCTAAATCCATGGCGTGTTGCACCTGGCAACGGCAGGTCCGCCACATTTTTCAGCAGCTGGCGGATCATCCACAGATCCTTTGCTTCAGTGCTACATGGCCGAAGAAGGCCCCGGAGAGTCGGAGAAGCATTTTTTTTTGTCCGTGAAATCTTGGCCACAGAGACATCCCCACTTGAAAATAGGCTATAAGTAATCAGATGTAACCAGTATATAAGTTCATGAATATTGGAAGAAGCACGTAAACACCCGCTGGGTGTGGTTTATTGCGCGTTTTTTGAGCCGCACCTTCCATCCATCAAAGAATTGTGTGTCTCCATGGATTTTCTATGCTTTGTGGCTCGGTTCGAAAGATCCATTTTGGGGTTTCGCGAGACAACGGCCAGACAGTATGTTGCACATGTTGTTCTTTTGCATCTTAGCATCTTCGTGAAGGGATTGCTTCCATTAGGGATAGCATCAGATGAGTGTGCAACTTCAAGTGAACGTCATTGCTCCCATCCCAACCCCTTCTTTGTAGCGTACCTTTCGCACGCATTTGACCTCTCTGAGTGTGCCATGATATTGCGAATTCCTTTTTTTTGTGGGAAATACAAATACCTTGACCTCCAAAGTATTCCAAAGTGTCACAGATTCCCAGATTTGTATTGCTACCTTGAGGGTCTAGGTCTGTTCATATACAGGGACACAATAGGTAGTCGGTGATTACTACAGTACCCATTGACTACTCCAGTGTTTTCCCATTTTATATTATAAATGTACCCGTTATGTGTATATATTATGCATATATATATTATATATATATTGGAATGTTCATTTAGTTGGGAGACTTCCCAGCAGCCCGAAGAGTGGTTGGTAACACCGGTGTCTACCTGGATCGCAGGTGCAAACGCTGACAGAGGATATGATGCCAAAAGCTGTGCACATCCGAGCGACTGGAAAGGGATTTTTTTCAGAAAAGCTCCCTATTTTTCATGGATATGTCCAAGGATTTCTGGACATGGCACCACCAAATACATAAGGGTGAGTTCACCTATATATCTGATCTTTCAACAATTTGTTTTCTGTAAATGTGGATAAGCAATCACATGTTGTTGAGATGAGTTGAAACCGGCAATCGGGTACTGTAAGCAGAAGACTTGAGATTTGAGACCACCGATCAGTTCCGCATTTTCGGTGAGATCAGTGACAAGAAATGATGAATCCACAGAAACGGTACGCGCCTCGCATTTGACCCTACCCCAATGGTTTCGCATATGACCCTACCCCCATTTTGGGGTAGGGTCGAATGTGAGAAAGTAGCGTTTTTAGCTGCGAAAAGAGGGTCCCGGAGATGATGATGATCATGATGATGATGATGATGGTGATGATGGTGATGATGATGACGATGGACGATCATGATGATGGTGATGATGATGGTGATGATGATGATGATGATCATGATGATCATGATGACGGTGATGATGGTGATGATGATGATGGTGATGATGATGATGGTGATGACGATGATGATGATGACGATGGTGTTCAAGGGGGGCTGGTTGATTTGATACCAATGAATGTCATTGTTCAAGGGGGGCCGGTTGATTTGATAGCAATGAATGTAATTGTTGAATGTAATTGTTCAAAGGGGGGCTGGTTGATTTGATAGCAATGAATGTAATTGTTCAAGGGGGGCTGGTTGATTTGATACCAATGAATGTAATTGTTCAAGGGGGGCTGGTTGATTTGATAGCAATGAATGTAATTGTTCAAGGGGGGCTGGTTGATTTGATACCAATGAATGTAATTGTTCAAGGGGGGGCTGGTTGATTTGATAGCAATGAATGTAATTGTTCAAGGGGGGCTGGTTGATTTGATAGCAATGAATGTAATTGTTCAAGGGGGGCTGGTGATTTGATACAATGAATGTAATTGTTCAAGGGGGGCTGGTTGATTTGAATGAATGTAATGTTCAAGGGGGGCTGGTTGATGATGAATGAATATAATTGTTCAAGGGGGGCTGGTTGATTTGATACCAATGAATATAATTGTTCAAGGGGGGCTGGTTGATTTGATACAATGAATGTAATTGGTTTCAAGGGGGGCTGGTTGATTTGATACCAATGAATGTAATTGTTCAAGGGGGGCTGGTTGATTTGATAGCAATGAATGTAATTGTTCAAGGGGGGCTGGTTGATTTGATAGCAATGAATATAGTTGTGCAAGGGGGGCTGGTTGATTTGATACCAATGAATGTAATTGTTCAAGGGGGGCTGGTTGATTTGATAGCAATGAATGTCATTGTTCAAGGGGGGCTGGTTGATTTGATACCAATGAATGTCATTGTTCAAGGGTGGCTGGTTGATTTGATACCAATGAATGTGATTGTTCAAGGGGGGTTGGTTCACGGATGTCTGGTTTGAGGCAGGGTAAAGTGTGGTAGGGTCAAATGTGAACCAGGAAATGTTGTTTTTTTCCCTGGAAGGGTTGCGTATTTTTGTTAGGGTAGGGTCGAATGTGAGGGTGCGTGAGGTTCTTTTGGAGTAGGGTCGAATGTGAGGCTGCGGTAGGGTCGAATGTGAGGTCCGTACCCTTGTCACCTGCAAGAGAAAGTCATGTCCTGAACAGACTCTTCCTGGGTACAAAACATTTGATGCTGAATCTGGCACGGCCTGAGGTAGGTGCTGAATCACATGAAGGCATCACTGGAAACCAAGACGTGCGACAACATGTGAGGCCGTCCAGAGATGTCCAGAGGGTTCATTGACGAATTCTCACTGAACTTCTTATTTGTATACATGGTTTAATCCACTTGGATAATCCCTGAAGTTGTTTTAGAGCGATCTGTTTACAACCCCATATATATACATACATAGTATGTGTATGTATATATATATGTGTGTGTGTACATACATACATACATACATATATATACATGTAACTACATTCAGATGTAATCCGATTTGTGACCACTTACTCCCTTTATATATGTATATATATAATCATCCCATCAGTAGCACGAAAAATGGTGGATAGAACTGAACCCAAACAGGGCTCGCCATATTTTTCTCCTGTCTTGGGCCGCCGGCATCCACATGTGAAACCAGGTGTTTTGTTTCCACCAGGCTCTTGCGAAGGGAGGAAGATCGCTTCAAGGAGTTGTGCAAGATTTTGAGGAGCCATCAAGCCGAGGTACCCAGGAACTGTTGGGGATGTGGTTGCCACGTGCATCGAAGCTTTCGTCCGAAGACGTGACGATTTTCGAATATATCAAGCCTGAGGTGTTTTTTCCCCGAATGCGTAGCAAGGGTTCCCGTTTCACTCTGGGGGGTCTGGGGGGGGGGTTGAGGCTGTGTTCGCCAAACGTTGCGCAACCGTCCGCAACTGTTCGCAACCCTTCGCAACCCTTCGCGGGCGACCGTGTGAGGCCCGTATGGCAGTGCCTATGGCGAGTTCTGCAAAAGGGGTCACTTTTGGAGGTTTCCAGCGTCGCGTAGCTTCGTTTCGCGTGGCAAGCGTGGCACTTTGTGACATTTCAACATGTTTCATAACGTGTCAAAAGTGGTTTTCTGGAAGGCGCAATATTTTTGCGACGTTTTCAGAAGATGGGTTGCAGTTTTCGTGGCAGGCGCAGCATTTTGGCGACCTCCATCGTCATTTCGCGTGGCAGGCGCAGCACTTTCGACGTGTCGAGTTGCGTGTTTTTTAATGTTTTTGCGAATAGCATTGTCAGGGCTGCGTGAAGTGGTGACAACGTGCAAATTCCCTGGCAGGCGTGGCATTTTGTGAGATGTGATGAGAAGTGACGGAAGCCTCGCACGAAACATCGATTTTGCGGTCGCAAATTTTGAGGTTCATGAGAAAACTCGTCGGAAAACGTCGATTCTGAAGCTACGAATTGTGAAAATTGGAGGAAGTCTCGCACGAAATGCTCGTTTTGATGTCTCGTCTCGGGTCTCTGATTTTCCTCTGGCCTCGCCGTGTCTATGGGGGAGGCTGCAAAACCTATCCTTTTTGAAGCTGTCAAAGCAGGTTGGCATGTCGTTTTGCGTGGCAGCCGTGGCACGTTGTGACATTCCAACCTGTTTGATAATGTGTCGAAAATCGTTTGCATGGCAGGCGCATTGCTTTTGCGACGTTTTCAGAAGATGGGTTGCAGTTTTCGTGGTAGATGTTGCAGGCGCAGCACTTTGGAGACCTCCATCGTCATTTTGCGTGGCAGGCGCAGCACTTCAGACGTGCCGCTCCACACTTTACACTTCACACTCCACATTTTACACTTTACACTCCACACTTTACACTTTACACTCCACACTCTACACTCTACACACGACACTCCACACTTTACACTTTACACTTCCCACTCCCCACTTTACACTTTACACTCCACACTTTACACTTGACACTCCACACTCCACACTTTACAGTCCACACTTTACACTCCACACTCTACACTTTACACTCCACACTCCACACTTTACACTTTACACTCCACACTCTAAACTCTACACACGACCTTCCCACTTTACACTTTACACTCCCCACTTTACACTTAACACTCCACACTCCACACTTTACACTCCACACGCCACACTTTACAGTCCACACTTTACACTCCACACTCTACACTTTACACTCCACACTCCACACTTTACACTTTACACTCCACACTCTAAACTCTACACACGCCCTTCCCACTTTACACTTTACACTCCCCACTTTACACTTTACACTCCACAATCCACACTTTACAGTCCACACTTTACACTCCACACTCCACACTTTACACTCCACACTCTACACTTTACACTCCACACTCCACACTTTACACTTTACACTCCACACTCTAAACTCTACACACGACCTTCCCACTTTACACTTTACACTCCCCACTTTACACTTTACACTGCGCTCCACACTCCACACTTTACCGTCCACACTTTATACTCCACACTCCACACGAGAACAGAGCCTGGAGACCCCTAGACCCCCTTTCCATGAAGCGAGTATACCTGCACCTGCCGAATCACGAGCCGCCACAATTCTCGCCGCCAGACGCGCCTTATTCCGTAATTTACAGGATTTCGTGGCGTCACGATCACTTCGTCGAAGTAGTTTCAACAACTGCAACCCTGCTTCGAAAATGTAATGGCATGGAGACATCCTGGATGTAATGAGTGATGATAGTGATTGAGACGAATTTCTGTGGAAGTGATGCAATGAGTGATGGAATGATTCAGGTGATGTATTTTTGACATGGTGCATTGAGTCATGCAATGATTGAGGTGACTTATTGTCAAAGTGATGTACTGGCTGATGTAGTGCAATGATTCAAGTGATGTAATGAATAATGTCATCATGCCCCATGCACCTGTCATGTGAGGGTTGTTAGATTTTACGTCAGCTCTGCTCCTCCTCCTTCTCTCTCCCTCTTCTCCTCCGCCTCGCCAGACCAACAGCAAGCGATCGCAGTGGTCCCCGCCGGACCCAAACAGCAAGCTCAGGATCAGAGTGATCAGAGTAGTCCCTGCCGGACCTCAACCACACAGAATCTCGAATGCTATGCGAGATAGAAGGCCAGATAGAATGTCAGATAGAATGTCAGAATAAATAGGCCATATAAACTTCCAGGTGGTATGTCAGAAACTATGTCAGAATTCTGATGGCAAAATTGCTCCGAAACTGTGGTGAGCAATGGGACCTTTCCGAATTATGTAGATGTCCTTTTCATGAAGAAGGAGTTTTGACAGCCGCGCATGTGAGAACAAGACCTGGAGGTATGTCTAGAAAGACAACACGAGAACCAAATTTGCATATTTCTCCAGAAAGTGCTGGCCCCCAGAAAGAATGAAGTATGAGAATCACATTGGCCGACTTTCCCAGACAGAATTAAAAGACCGAATAACCCCACACGCTACCATTTTTTCACAAGTATCACCGATAGGACAGAGAAGGAAGGTACAAGGAGGGGGCAGAAGACGCAAGAAAAAGAGAGGAGAAGAAAGAAGATAGGAAGATGGCGGGTGTGTGGGTGTGTGGACATGAGGTGGGAAGTGCGTGCATCAGGCTCCTCTGGCCACTATATGTGTTGTCACGAGGTCTGGAATTTTGTGAACCCAAGCGCTGGTCGGGCAACCACAGCCACCCAAGGCAAACCCCCCCACTTTACAATTTACACTTTACACTTTACACTCCTCATTCCACACTCCACACTTTACACTTTACACTTTACACTCCACACTCTACACTCCACACTCCACACTCTACACTCCACACTCCACACTTACACTTTACACTCCGCACTTTACATCACTTTACAATTTACACTTTAAACTCCACACTCTACACTCCCCACTTTACACTTTACACTCCACACTCTACACTGTATACTCCACACTTTACACTCTACACTCCACACTCCACACAAGACACTCCACACTCCCTACTTTACACTTCACACTCCACACAGGACACTCCACACTCCTTACTTTACACTCCACACTCCACACTCTACACTTTACTCTCCACGCTCCACGCTCCACACTTTACAGTCCACACTTTACACTCCACACTCTACACTTTACACTCCACACTTTGCACTTTGCATTCCACCCTTTTCCGCATTCTACAGTCTACAGTGCGCTGGTACGGTAACCGGGGAAAAATTTAGACTGTTCAAATTATTTGTTTCACAAAAGTGTTCTATGTGATTGCATTCCGGTTCGTGGGCTGCATCTTGTTTCTTTGCCATGACAACAAGCATAGCGTTCAGATGTGTGTGGCCACCTGTGCAATGCCACAAATCGGAGCTTAAACATTGATTCTGATTGTGTTGAGTGAATCAATTTTGGAATCATCCCATCACTTAGCCGGATCTATCAAATCCATCACTCTTCTTGTAAATTAGACAGGGCTCATGACAGCAGGAGATACAAAGTCTTACAAGATCTTACAAGCCCCAAACTGGTACCTTCGGCATCCTTCGGCCCCATGATGCTGATACCAACGTTGCCAGGCTTCTATCATTTTTTGCGGCCTCAAGTGTCTCAGCAACGTGGTCGTTGAGTCGTTGGCCCCCTGTATGTTTTCTGAGTAATGAGGTCCCAGTTGCGGGCCACCGAAGGACAGATGCATTTCTTAGACTTCCGATTGTTTTGGATACACAACCCACCCGACATGTATGTATTGTACATGCCTGCAATATGTTAATATGATGCAATATGTTGATTGTGTATACGTATATAGCATATGTGTGTGTAATACGTCCTCAGTCTCTTTTCTGCTGACCACATCTAATCACGTTTGACCAGATGATTAGACATACATAAAGACAATGAAATGAAATGACCAACATACCATGCCAAACCTATCTACAAAGTAAGTATCATTTGTCAACCCTATGACGCGCGGTACCGAGTATATAGTTGAAATCATGTTTCATCTTTCAGGGGGTTGAAACCACCAACACAGCACAGTCTTCGGTTTGCATCGGATATGGGTGTGCCATGGTGTGCCCATCATCCAGTATACCCCAAACTTGCCATTTTACCGAGGAAAATGAGGAGGGGTCTGTCTGAAAATGGGGTGTCACATTTGAGAAATCTATACCTCATTTCAAACTTGAAAAAGATAAATAAAGATAAATAAACCCACTTTTCAGGTGTTTACCCAGGTTCCTCATCTGAAGCCAGCATTTCACCAGCATTGTTGTAGACCAAGGAAGACAGCGGCAGCACTGAGCCGATGGCTTCGAGAGGAGCAAGTCATCAGCTTCTGAAGTTTGCTTGTAGCTGCACTCAAAGGAGTATCTCTATACATTCAGTGGACGATACCCCAGCATATACACCCTCTTCCTCACCCTTAGCTGTAGATTCAACCTTAAATTTTAAAATCATGAAAAACTATAGGCTATAGGTATTATGATGATTAGGATGTCGAAGGTTGCCGCGCTAGACGCAATAACTAACATCTGTACCTTAAAGGTTTGTCAACCCCCCAGCGGCAAATTTGGAGGTATACTAGTACCTAGAAATGACCTCTGTTTTGGATAATGCTCAGCCAGGATCCAAGTATAAATCCCATCCGCCTGATGTTTAACATCCCATAAAAGGGGTCCCAAAGATGTGGTTTCATCTCTGACTAAACCATGGTTTCTGGAGGGTGTTCAATATTAACGCAGTATTTTTTGAGGTTTTTCCACATTTCGCTCCACATTTCCATACCTACTCAGTTCCACCGAGCTGCCAACATCAAGGAGGGTTTTTCTTGCGGCGCCTTGCACGGCAACTTGACCCAACCAGAGAGGCAGGAGGTGATGGAGCGTTTTCGTCAGGAAGAAGTGCACCCTGGCTGGACTTGCTGGGACCTGGGCTTCCTCCAGGAATATGATCATGATTTATCATGTGAATTGTGATCCAGTGATCCCCATTACTGGTCATGAATAGCTAGCTAACTGTCATGGATAAAAAACATATTTCACCAACAAACATATAGGATGAGATGGTGATTTCGCCAACAAAATATGGAGATAACAAGATCAGCTTTTTCAGACATGCTCAAATGGCGAGTTCAATAGACAAACAGGGATTTCACATGCAAAACAAGCGGAAACAAGCAGGAGTTTACCAATTGACAAGTTGATATGTCATTTGGGATTAATTTCAACAAATTCTTGAAGACACATGTTTAAACATTCATTGGGTCCTAAGTTCCCCCTGGCATGTCCCTGACCAATGGCTGTTTTGGCTGAGGGCTTTTCGGACATTTGAAAGATTGGTTTGCAAGTCCTGATTTCTCTAGTGCCCCATTGATTTCAGTAGACATCCAGAATCATCCAGACCAGGAGCTGGTGATGATGATGATGATGATGATGATGATGATTGGGATGATGGGGATTCAGCAAGTCATGCCTATATCTTGGGACAGGTCTTCACCGGCGAAAATTGGGGTTGATTAAAAGACGAGATAATTAAGGGACGTTTTGGTTTTTGGTCCTTGATTCTGCTTTCAAGGGCGAAACATGAACACAAAATTCATGCGCTCAAGTGTGAAAGGTCACAGTGACCATGCCAACACCATTGAAACTTGTGTTAGCAAATTTTCACGCCAGTTCTGATGAATGTTGGTGCAAAATATGTGTTTTCTCCAGCCATGAATGCTTGTTAGCTTTATGTGTTCTTGGTTGCTTTCTATGTTTGTTCGCTTTACATTTCAAAGACTGGTCCCAATTGATGAGTATTTGGGGTCTTGGGTCTGTCTTGGGTTTAACAAAGTTTAACCACCAGCTGACATTTGAGGTTTCTGCTATCGGGGATAAGCTTTTTGGGTGGCTTACGTACAGTCTTCCCACCAAATGGTTTGGCCCCAAGGCCCCAAAGTATGCGCTGATAGGCTGATAGGTACAGTATCAGATATTTAGGCAATGTTGAGCACCTAAAAAGGCTATTGTTTACTACTCCATAAGTTTACATGAATTTCATGGAGTCATTTTTCAACCAAACATGTTTATACTTCGCCAAAAAAAGGACGGCTCTGCCGTCTCAGGAACGTGCTGGTGGCCACTGATGTCGCTGCACGTGGACTGGATTTGAAACGTGTTTCCGTGGTCGTGAGCTACGAGCCTGCCGTGCCCTGGCTGGAGGAAAAGCTATGAAAAGATAGGAAAAAACAAAGATCATAAGATCTATGATGGGATATTTACCATACCATCATGATAATACTATTACCCAGAATAATAATCTATTCCAGATATGAAAAGATAGGGTGTTATCATTCTGGGGTGTTGTTTGATCCCAGCTACATGGGCTTAAGGCATCTGAAGGCTACAGGGCCTAGAAGGTGCACCAAAGCGAGGCGAAAAGTCTCAACGTTTGGATACCAGGAGACGACACTAGCAAACTGGCCATTGGATATACTGATTGTATATCTATCTACGGTATGTATAATTGTATATACAAATATGTAATTGTAAGTATAACTCTATATATATATATACATAGTTGTAAATAATTATATATACATAATTATATATAGTTATATAAACGTATACATGTGTATTTGTATGTATATTTTTTACATACACACAAACAAACAAAGAGACATATGCGGTTCCATCCCCTTAAAATGATCTTTGTTGGTGAAGTAACCCACCACAGTGTTACGGATTTTCCCTTGTCGGTTGTGTGATTTAACCTCATATCATGTATATAATTGTCTATATATATATATGTATGTATCATGTATCCATATCCATCCATTTATATTCCCATTTTTTCCCATGTTATTTGCCATGGATTTTCCCACGATATTCCTATGACAGTACCAGGTAGCCATGATGATTTTCCCACATGTCGCCCTGCGGCGCCGCTCCAGGTGTCCTTGGATGCTCACGTGCATCGCATTGGTCGCACCGGGCGGGCAGGGAAGAAGGGCGAGGCCTACAGCCTGCTGCAGTCCGAGGTGTGCAGTGGCATGGTATGGATGGTTTATAATGAGTAATGGTAATTCTTTAGTATTCTGGTAATTACAACTATCATAGTGATTAATAATCTTCTAATTCATATTATCACAATGTGATAATCCTAGAATTACTATTGGTGATTGATCATATTTTAATGTCGGAAAGCCGCGAAAGCCATAAACAAGGCCTCCATGACTGGGTGTTTTTTATCCAGCCGTAAAGATGTGGATTTTGGGTTTACCACATTATATTAATGGGAATTTCAGGCTCCTAAAATGGAGGTACTGTACCATATAAGGGCATATTTTCTAGGGATATTCCCTTACATAGGCCTTATATAGGCCTTATATATGGTAGGTACCTCCAATTTAGGTTCCTGAAATGGCCATTGATTATATACTGTACCCTTTGGTACCCTCTGGTAAACTAACATAACTATGGAAAATCACCATGGTGTTAATGGGTAAATCAACTATAAATTGCCATTTTCACTATAGCTATGTAAATGTTTACCAGAGGGGAACTGAACATAGTTTCGATAGCTTTGGAAAATTGATGGAACATTGTCGATGTATAGAGGATTTACCTATTCACAAGGGTAACTTTCAATAGCTGTGTTAAATTACGAGATGGTAATGGGGATAAAATGGGAAAAGTATGGATCAAATCTCTTAAACCCTGGGCCGGGGTTGGAACTTCCGGATCCTCTATCAGCCAGGATTTCAGTAAGGTTTATTTATCTGGCATTTATCCGGGGTTGACCTTATCCTGAAACGATAGGTTTATGAATGGAATACGATACTATCCCTATTGGCTTATAAACTAGGGTCCAATTGGATTGTAGATCTAATTACAGTATATATAATATATAATATATATATATATTCGCAATACTACCCGGTTTGGATACTGTGGTTACTTAATCCCAACAGGCCTATCCATGTTGGTTTTGTTTACGATAGTGGGTTTGACGGTTTTAATCAGATTTTGCAATCATTCGTAGCTAGGGTTTTTTAACCATCAGAAAGCCCTCGGGGAGGTGTTTGCTTATTGGAGATGATAGCATCAAATATGGATTCACGAAAGCATGAACAACTCCAGCTACTATAGTCATAGTAATTTGGTTTCGTCCAAGAATGAAGAATACCTGGTGAATACCTTCACGTCAAAGGAATTTCAACCACGCGAAATGTTGATACAATGGATAAATGAAGATTGCTTGTGAGACAGTGGAGTTATACCAGCTGCCTGGTTTACCAACCGGCCTCATGGAATGGGATGGGAATATGTTCCGTGGCTCAAGTGATTTGGGGAATGGCATCAAATGGAGAATTATCAAACTAAAAGGTGATCCGTGGTCAATCAACAACTATAAAAGGTCAGTCTACTCAAACATGAAACGATATGGGTAGACCTTGAATGGATGAGGATCCATTAAAAGAACCAGGTTTTAAACAAATACGAGGAGTCAATCATGAAAAAAGCTTCGGTTGCACCTTGGATGGGCAGCTATTTACCATCCATCACAGAGGCTCAACCAAGATTTCTGGAGAGTCAACGATGAAAACTCGCGGGGTCTCAAAGTCGTAATAGCTTAACACGTACAAACCATACTTGCTGGGTATATAGATACACACGCACATACAGAATCTATCAGAACATTACATATAACAGAATTGCTTGATCGAAAACAATCCAGAAGTCATTGATATTGGCCTATCACCCCTAGCAGTGAGGGTTTTCCCATGGTTTTCCCATTGACACCTTTGGTGCCTTTGGCGAGCTAGGATGTGACGACCGCACGGCTGCTGGTGCAGTCCTTCCAAAGTGCTGGACAGGCGAGCCATGTTGGATACTTCCGTGCAGCCGAAGTGTTGCTCATCTTGTTTATCTTGTTTGGGATGCTGAAAGTGACAGCCTCTGGCAAGGCAACATTGCAATAGAAAGTCAACATGCCTAGACATGGATGTGTCTAAGGATGATGTATATATATATATCCAAATGGCAATGTTAACAGGGAAAATGATGATTACCAACTGGGTTTTCGGGGTACCATGTGTTCAGACATGCCTGTATAGATATATGATATGGACGCTTTTCGAAATGATGTTCCATGGCTGTGTTGGATTGCAACATGTGAGAGATCATTTACCTGCGTTGTATGATGATCCTTGTGTGTTCTAATTGCTCCAGCGCTTTTTTGGGGGCGGGAGGGTCAGCAAGAGCAGTGGCCTCAACTGCAATCTATTGTGTTCATATGTGCAAGACGATGGGAAAACAATGTCTCATGAACAATTTGGTTGGTGGATGTTATGTTCATTCCATAGCGATTCAGCAGGACTGACCCCAAGTGACTCCTGTGTGTGGGGTGCAAAGAGACCATCAAACACATGATCTTTAGGACACAGTTCATCCATGACTATATTTACATATATTTACTATACTTACAATAGTATTATAATAACTATAATGTATGTATTCCCTTTTGCATTCATTGCGTTCACCCCAACAACACCGTGAATGTCGGCAAAGTAAACACTGTAAGCATGTCGGCTCCATGGACTGGCAGGCCATACCTGAAGCTGTGCTGAGTTTATCTCAGGCTGAGCCTCTCAGCAGCCGATAGACAGTGTGCATTTTGTCATGGGGGAATTTGGTGAAGTTCGAACCAAGGAAGTGTTAGTGTTAGTTATAACTGATTATTTCTATGGGATTATACATTCTATAAATGAGGTTATAAGTACTTCTAACTGGTAAAGGGCAATAGCTGCATGAATTGGATTGGAGAATATTGTAGTCTTTTAGTGACTCCAAGTTTTGATCAAAAAGACACACGGATGCTTCACTTGTGTCCTGTGCCCTAACTTTCCCGGAGCCTGAGGCCACCAGCTGAACCAAACAGCGGCCGCGTCACAAAGGTCGTGTCGCGACGGCGAGAAAATGGGATGCCAGTCATGGGCGAATGATGCCGCGCCTGGGGGACTGGGTCAAGCTGTCGACCGGGAGATTAAGTGGTTAGTTTATGGTTGATGTTTTCCTCGGAAAATCCTGCATTGTCCGAGTTGTCCGTGCCCGCATTTTTTTGGTCCTGCTGCATGATGTATATATCATGTCGGTGCCTATGAGGGAAAATTGCTTCGTTCAACATTCAACATCCCTTCTGGTATTTGTCTTCTCCCATAAGTATACTGTTCTGCAATGAATACAACTGCATAATATACGTACTCATAATGTATATGTACATGTACATATACATATACATATACAAATATATATATATATAAATAATTATAAATATATATATATATATACATACAGTAGTGTATATATATACATATATAATCATATAATGCATCATATAATTATCGCAGGTATGATGAATAGAGGTCGCTAGCTTAGCTCCCTGTCCCGGAAGTCCCTTAGGCCGCGATGTGTCACCTGGCTGTGTCCAAGTCTACTCGGACCCTAAGTTTTCTGTCTCGCGCCCACGAGGCTGGGTGTCAAAAAATTATCCAGGTCTTGACAAGACACTCTCTTTTTCTGGGCCAATACAACTGTTTGTTTTCATGGGATTTGACGGGCATATATATATATACATATATAACTGGAATTTTCATGAACTATTTATTGGGAGTTAATGGGATTTAATTAGGATACAATGGACTAGGGTGTAGTTGGCTTGTCTTTCTTGGGAACCATGGGATTGGATCCCCAAAAAAATGGGAAGTATGCCCTAAAACTATATGGTGACAAACCATTTATAACCGGAACCAATTTGGTTTATAGCTCCAACAACCAGGGTCTATGGATGTGTATGGTAGATATAGTTGAATAAGGTTGTAAAACACAGTAGCTGCGGAGCAGCATCTTGTACCAAAGACCCCAGGGTCGGTTTCTTGATTGGTGTGAACTACAGGGCACCAGGGTGAAAGGACGGATATGCCAAGCAACTTGCCTACAGGGGGGATCAATCAAGCAAAAGAACATGTATATTTATATAATCAATGTATGCAGCGAAAGGCATGATGTTCAAATAGGTTCAACACATATAGAAATGATGAATTCAATGTTGTGGGTCGCACAGGTGCCGAAGTGCGTGAAATCCGGACCCACGGCCACATACCATGATGTCAGCGAGAAAGCATGGGAATAGATTAGCAACATTCAACACCCAAACTTTGCAAAACATATAGTTCTTTGGAGTTCTGAAGGAACTCTACAAAATGGCGAACTTTTTTAAGATGGAACCTCTCATGAAATAGCTTTTTTTAAGTGACGCTTTGCATGAAGATCAAAGGATTCAGCGTACATTCCACAAGCAGCGGAAAACTGTTCTGCCATGTTCTACCCATGTTTTTGATGTGATTATATAGCTATCAGATAAAAGCATGGCCTTAACCAGTATCACTATCAATCTTTTCGATGTCCACAATTCTCTACCATCCAACAATGCTTTGGGCTTTGCCTTTGTTTGTTGACAAAGACAAGCATATCTTTCAGTGCGCACCAAGGGGAGGGTTCTGGGTAGCCGCTGGTAGCCCCCCATAGCCCTAGTTGTGGCTCATAGTTCAGGTCACTGTCCCTGTAGATATATTCAGCACCCCAGGATAAAGCACCAAAGCTATGCAAAGCTCTGGCAAAAAATGCGAAAAAGGGAAACATAATGGAAGAAATATGAAGAAATATGGAGAAGATGGAAATTCCATGGAAAGATGTTGTTCTACTTATTGACTTTGGTATTTGGTTGGCGCTTTGGCGCTCCCTGATGGATAGGTGGTCTTAGCCTACGTCCTGGCTGATCTGCTTGAACTGCCGAAGGAGCCTACCAACAAAATCTCAGGATGCGCAGCATTTGGTGGAATCCACTAATACTGGCACTATGAGTGACATATTCAATCAAAACCATCTATGTTCTTGCCTTTCCAAGATCATACCTTCAATTTACAAAGAGAACTTCGCGGAGTGTAAACAGTTAGATCGACTGTAAAGTGACCATTGCTTTACTGTAAGATAAGAGGGTCCCCAGGGTCGACTTTGAAGCTAAGACCTCGGGCAGGACCCGTTGCTCTTGAAATTCCTCGCCATGAGCGCAGAGCACGACGAGCTCTACGACGTGGCGGCGGAATATCTGTTGCAGCACCCGCAGGCGACTTCCGGAGGTTTCCAAATGTTTCTAAGTATGGTTTCCAAGAATGATTGTTGATCAGATACCAAAAGATCCAACTGGGACATCTGGTCGTGAGGGTGTTACCCTCAAGTTTATTGGTGGATTTACATATCACATATGGATCATGTTAGGATCCCTTTTATAGGTAGATCATGGTTGACAAAGTCAACCAAAACTCAATTTGATCAAGAGATGATCATGATCTAACATTCTCCACCATTATCTACCATCATCTACCATCATTATCCACGATTATCAATCAAGTGTAAATTTGTTTACATGAAGGGAAGACCACCGTGTTCTTTGCAAGTTCTTCTTGCCACGATGTTGCGCCGGCTTCGAGTTGAACCTGGGTCTACCCTACCCCCGTTGTGAGTGGCAAGATCTCCGCTCTTGTTTGCAAGTCCCATCCTTTTTTTTTTCCTCATACCGGTTTGGTCAAAGGAAAAAGAACCATCATTGGGCTGGTTAAAAGGAGCCTCTCAACTGGAAACCATTGTGTTTACCTTAAATACAGGGGGAAACTCAGTAATAAATGTTCTATTCATCCAATGCTGGAAAAGCAACCAGTAGTCTTTGTACCCAGCCATGCTCAGGGTCCGGACATACACATCCCCTTGCTGGCAGCCAGACATGGCTATCCTGCTGCTTGGCGATGCTTGAGCATTTGCCCACAGGGATTTGAGATGTGCCATCCAGATCCATCCAGTGATAAGTTGATTACTTGAAACTTCAAACATTTCAGCCATTTAAGTGGTAGATACTCTCACAGCTCGGACTTGAGCCAAACCACACTGGTTTGACAGCTCACTCTTCTTCTTAGAAGAGTCGTGCAGAGTAAAACGCAGTGACACTCAAACGTTCTCAAACTTCTCAAACTACTTCAAAAGAGTTCTCAAGCTTCCAAAACAGATCTCCAGCTTCTCCAAATAAACCGTCTTCTTCAGCTCAAACTCAAAAATAACTACCTACAAACTCCTACCAAATAAGTTCACAACATCAAGTTCCTAAGACATGGGTCAAACAACATCCAAAAACACCAAAACTCTTATGCAACCTTGGAGAGATAGGCTGTGTTTTCAAAAAAAAAAAAGTTTTCCAAGTTGACAGGGGCACTGGTGGTTTCCACAGTTCTTTCGCATCACAGCCTGGGGAATACAGACAAAGAAGATTGGTCACTACCCAATGGCACCCCTCTAAAGCTGGAATATCTTTTGAGTGCTTTAAGAAATGGCTCCGTTGGATATTGGTCAACATTTTGAAAAAAACACAAACTGCACCCCAAAGTTGAGGAAGTTGACCAAAATCTATGGTCCCGATGGAGGTGATCATGTCAATGTCATGTTCCCATCATTGAAAAATCATCGAGTTTTTGGCGATTGTCACACTATAACCTCAATGTTGACCTACATTTCCCACGTTTTGCAGACTCAGCGGAGTCAGCGGACTCAGGAGTCTTTGCGCAACTACGTCTCAATCTCGCGACCGGAACAACAGGAGCAACGCGAGCAACGGGGGAAGCGAGGTTCAGCCCATCAGTGGCCTGGAAGAGGCTCCCCAGTGACAGTACTAATTTGATCTAATTTGGTGGGTCAGTTATATAAGTTTTATAAATATATATATATGGTTTATATAAGGTATATAACTAAGTTTTTATAAGTTTCTAATTTGGATATCTATCTATATATATATATATGGGTATGTCTGAAAATTGTGTATACATTGCCATTGAATAGGAAAAATATGGAAACGATTAACCCTCATGGATTTTAGAGGTACCGCATCTTTAGACCAACCCCATATTTATGTTCAAGCATACTTGGGATTATGAGTTGAAATGACGAGCGGCTCATTTTTGGGATGGATGTCCGTTCAATGTTGGTTCGTAAGTCCATCGAGCTACAGCTAGAAATATAGTATATTATCTATCTATCTATCTATCTATCTATCTATCTATCTATCTATCTATCTATCTATCTATATATCCACCATCTCCTCTGGGGCATGCTTTATTGCATAACTCTATACTATGCTCTTATGATTGGGACCACGAAATCATCGATCATTCTAGCTATCCCTCATGATGCCCGTTAGCGGATGGAGGCTGAAAGCTTGGGTATTCATGGACCAGGGGCTGTAGCATTGCTTACACATCAATTTTAGAAATGAGCCATAAGGCTTTTTATATGGGATAATAATCCCTCTAGATCTATAGGATCTTGGTCTTTGCTCACTTGTGGTTTGGCGGTTAGCAAGCAGGTGATGACGAAAGGGTTAGTAAGTTAGTACTCCATTACGATTGAACATCAGCTAATTTGCTACTGAGACATTTATATTACTGCAGATCCATGTGAGGATTGTGTGTTTGTATACCTTGACCCTCAGTCAAAAGTAGTAAAGATATGGGGTAAAAAGATGTAAAAAGTAAATACACCATGACACCAACACCATGTGGTTTAATGGCGGAATTGAGGGATGTAGATTTTGCTTTTTTTTCACGGGGAAGATGTCCCGGAATACCCTGCACATGCGATTGCAAAAAATACCTGGTTCCCAGTGTTCCTTACCCACCGGTCTTCAGACATGGTTTGTTGGAAAATCCTCTGCTCAGTTCAATGGTTTTCCCATGCAAACCTCCATGGCCAGTTCCCTGCCCGGAGGATCATCCCACGGATCGACAGTATATAACACGTCTGTTTATGCGAAGACCCACAAATCGGGACTTACAATCACCAGGGGTATATAGATATATAATGATACATATATATATATATATGTATACATACATATACGTATATATATATATATGCGTATGTATATATATATTGTTTATATACAACTTATATATATATATGTATTTCTGTTTATATTTATGTATTATATATAAGCCGCTTCTTAAAGACCCCATGGAAATGACCCAAGGCCATTCTCCCCATCCCCCGATGCCTTGGACCAGGATCGCGCTGCGCAGTGCCAGGCGGAGGGCCGCACGGCCGAGGCCATCTTGGCGTACGCCTGCGCGCGGCAGGGCGAACAGGTGCCGTTGGGGGCCTGGGAAGCCCTGGGAAGCCCTGGGAAAATGGGGGACATTCTATGGGTTCAAAATCTCAGATTCAAAATACCACAGAATTGGAATGTATATATGTTCAGTACCATGAAAAAAAGGGTACCCAATTTTGACCCATAGCCATATGGATATGTGAATTACTTATATTGATGTATAATATGGATATATGACATGTGCGTACTCAAGTGTATGCATTGCATGTTCACATGGAGAGAAGTTGAGGAATCTGGCACCAATTTTAATGACATGTTTCTAAGTATACCCTCTGGTAATTTGACATAGCTATGGAAAATTGCCATTTATAGTGGATTTTCCCATTAAAAATGGTGGTTTTCCATAGCTATGTTAGTTTACCAGAGGGTAAGTATTGTATACAGAATCCTTTGCTATTGGGGGGGTGATCACACTGACATGGGCAGCGCACCCAAGTCTGGAGTTTACTTCGTTTACTTCAGCCGCGTAGCTCCAAATTTGCTTTGACCGCGATTTACTGTGGAGGTTTCCTAAATAGGGGTACCTCTAGATTCCTAGATCATCCACTACAAATAGGATTTCCATGGATTTCCATGATCAACCAACCATTTGGGGGTACCATGGAATCGATGGTCGTCCTGGCACCAGGCCGTAAGGTTAGCCACTGATGCCCTGATGCAACTCTTTCAAAGCCCGGAGGGATGGACACTCGCTGAGGCGGGTGTTTTTTGGGGACACTCCTGGAAGACATTTTTGGGGGGATGAAACCAATAGTGATGGTTAATAGTGGTTAATAGGCTATAAACCAACAACCATGGGAATATGATGGTGATCCGGTTGGTGGTTTCAAACATGACTTTTGTTTTCCATAATATATGGGATAATCCTTCCCATTGACTAATATTTTTCAGAGGGGTTGAAACCACCAACCAGTCATCTACTTAGACCACTTAGACCCAAAAATGGTTAAATGTAGTACGATGATGACAATCATCTAGCGTTTGGACTCTTCAAATACCACCCAAAAAAACATGGTAAAATGTAGTACGATTTTGGGGTAAGAGATGGTAAAATACAATTTTGATGGGTACTTGGAGGGTGTAGGTACGTCCATGTACCAGCTATTGGCAAATCCGCAAATTTCTCTTGATGTTGAAAGTAGTCATAAGGGCTGGTATGAGAGGGAAAAAGATGTTCTCAACCATCACTTTAGGCAGGCCAAAAGTCTTGAGATTATTCCAAAATGTGTATTTGGGGTGGCATGGTTGTAGTTGAACCTGGTAGTTCACCACTAAATGCGGTCGACCCCACAATCAACCATACCAAAGTTCAAGATTTGATTGTTGTTTTTCAATAAGCCTTCAGATATTAGCTTCATTGTTGAGTTTACATAGATTTTACCAAACCAAAAACTAGTAACACCATGGGTTATGACTTCTGATGATACCCAGACGCTCCACGCATGGAATATTTATATATAGCAACATTTACCATCAAAATGACCCAGTCCTGAAGCTAAGTATTCCAGCACCATGGGGCATATGGGATAATTACTTTGAAAAGAGCCTTTTCCAATATGTTCCAATAACATTGATATCATTGCTTCACTTCCTGTAAAAATTATCTGATTGGAAGATTCACATAAATATGTGCAATAAGATTTCCATCATGATGACATACTTTGATACATTTTGATACAAAAAGTCCATAGACTCTGAAGCTTCACAGCTTTCCCAACGGCCGTCCAAGTGCCATCCTGGTCCAAGTGCCATCGGCCGAAGCCAGCGCCATGGATGCGGCCATTGACGGCGCGCTGGGGGCCTTCCGGAGCAAGCTGCTGCAGTGGCGCGGCCTTTCCAGTCACCATGTTTATAGGTGGTATAAACCTAAACCATTCCCAGTCATGGCTGGTTTATGGCATTGTTTTACCCACAGTAGCCTACTCTATATTCGTGTTTTTTTGATATCTTTAGCCTCATTGAATCGCTGTTTCAGCCCCTTTTCTCACGGTTCCACCCCATTTCCTCACAGTTCCCTACTACCGGTTTGGTATCATGACTTTTTACGGGAAGGTTGATCTCAAAGCGTTCAGGACATGTATTGTCAAGCCCTCACCGACCTGGGGGTTTTCCCAAAATGGGGTTTTCCCCTACGAAATCACCAATTTTTAATAGGAGTTTCCATCATAAACCATCCAGCTATCAGGGTAACCCCATCTATGGAAACCCCAAAAAATGCCCATTTGATCATTTTCTATCATGTTCTATGATTTTCGATGTTGAACCATGGTGCCTGGTTCCGGGTTCAAATTTGCCAGTGATGTTGGTAACTTGGCATTTGGGAAAAGAAAAAATCAGCAATGGATGCTGCTACACGTTACAATGAAAGCAGCTAGTGGTTTCAAAAATGTTTTGCCTTCGCCCATGAACACTGGGACATTCTTGAGTTACGTGCCCCAACTATTGACAATAAAGCAGGATTTGACACTTAATACATCCATATAGTGTAACTTATGTGGCCAGTCACTTGATGTTTGGCTTTGGACGTGAGGTCCCTTGAGCTTGAAGTCTCCTTTCTGGAACATCGCATTAAGCAGGTGGCTTGGGCATCCCAAGATGTGATGTCCATGTGTTTTTGTTTCGGAGTTTCGGAGAAAAATGCACTGGGACAGTTGAATAGTGAAAGTGGTAGACGGCCACGTTTTGAAGATACTTCCCCTTATGCTCTTAGCATTGACCATCAAGGATTGCTAGCTGCTGCAATGATGTTTTGTCATGCTCTTTCATTTCTAATTAAATCACATGGCAAGATTATCCCACGTGATAAGTGCCTAGAACCCCTATTTAACAAAAATATGATAACAGTGCTAACATGCACCAACAGTGCGAGATAAAATATTGGTTTCGTGGACAAACTGGACCAGGTTGCAAGGTGGAACGGGCTTTGTTAACCATTGTTAACCAATTGTCGGATTCGTCGTGGCTCTACAGATGGATATAACATGATATCTAGTGTCGCGATTGGTTTCAAATATCGTCCTTTTGAACCATATTAATCATATTAGTGATAATTCTAATGTGGTTTTAAAAGAAAACAATATATATATATATAGATAGATAGATAGATGGCACAAGTTTTGTTCATGTTTCATTCAACTTTCACCAGACCCCACCGCGACCCAGGTGTACCCCTGATCGCTGCTATCCCCTTTCCCACCAGGGATCTGAACCCGATCCACATATCCATGAACTGCCCATCGATATTTAAAATTTCGACCCCAATTTTGTTGAGTTCTCAAAGTTGTCAATCGCCTTCTACCCTCCGGTAAACTAACATAGCTATTGAAAATGGCCATTTATAGTGGATTTACCCATTAAAAATGGTGATTTTACATAGTTACGTTAGTTTACCAGAGGGTATACCCATTATATACCCATTATATGCCAATGATAGGCCCACTGGAATCGGTCTCAGGAGTTGCACAGTGACCCGCCATCAGTGACCTGGGCCGACCACGACCCGTCATTGAGTGCCGACCCGTGGCCGTGGACGAGGGGATTTCACCAGTGGTTGATTTTCACCATGACTTCAGCTGGATTTAAGCAGCAGAAATGGCGATGTTGCCATGAAAATTAGGATTTCAGAAATCGAAACAGGACTAGCGATGGAACTTCACCCAGCAAAACAGGCCAAAAATGGTTTAACCATTTGGAGTGAACCTGTGGGAATTGGGATTGAACCAGGAAAAACAAAGAATTTTTTCAGCAACAATTCGGAGTTATGATTAAGTGTGATTTATCCATCAAAATTGGAATTTAGCCAGCACAAATGTGGCTCAAACCATTAAGAAAAAGTAAGCATGTGGATTAAGTAGCAAAATTTAGATTTGCCCAAAAATGTGGATTGTTTACTGAATTTTGCAATAAACAACTTGGATTTGGCCCAGAAAAACAGGATTCACCCATCGGATTGGGACAACAATTGAGCAAACCCTTCATTGTGATCACGGGGTACTGATCGGTGCTGATATAGATTTAATCCTGACAACTGGAAGATGTTTGATCAGTACTTGTCACTGCGCAGATACTATAATAACAGTCTGGTCGTTTTACAGGCATGATCCTTAACTGTCACAAACATTCACAGGTGTTAGATGAATTGATGGAACAGATTGCATGCGGTTTTCTCTATGTGGGGATTGTGTGCCCAGCCATGTGATCTGTGTGTTTCTCAGACGGGGTTGGCTCAAATGACTTGGATCTCCTGACAACCTCGGACACGCTGACATCCTGGTATTCCAAGACATCGGTGTTTTATTGTATGTATTTCAATGTATTTCATGTATGTATTTTTTATATTCCAAGTCCAAATGCCCCTAAGAAACGGTAAAAGTGAACTGTGGTGCTTGGAGGGTCAAACGGTTTGTCATAGTGCCTTCCCTTTTTGTTTCGCGCCATAGATCAGAAAATCTCGACAGGTGATGAAGCCAACAGCAGCGTGGTGAACGTGGACACCGTTGAAGAAGTGGATCCTCGCGGCACGGCTGCGTCACAAACGAGTCAACCCGGAGCTGATCTTCACAAGGCGCCGGAAATTGGAACATCCACCAATGGGATTCGCAAGATGATTCCTAAGTGCGTATCATATATATGATTTTTATATATACATACTGTATATATATATATCATATATATATCATATATATATATATCATATAATATATATATCATATATATATATATTAACATAAAATCAACCAATCAGTTGCAACATACAATATGGTTTTCATGGGATAGAAATTGGGTTTTATTGGATATTCATAAGATACTGTATAACATGAACCAACTTGATACGATTTCTGAGTGTGTCTGAATATCGGATATGTCCCTTGTACATGGCAAGGAACACTAAGGAACATGATGATCAACCGTGGACTGAGGGTACCCAGGTTTTAGACAAACCTTTCTGATTTTTCTATTGCGGTAGCTCGAATTCCAAGAGTTCATGTTTCCTATTCAAATTCAAATGACTATGAAAGGGCATGTGTATATATATATATTATGTCTTAATATGATTTAATCTGTACATGTACAAACTATTTTCAATCCCAAGTGGGTTGCAGATGGTTGCCTGTGCACCTGGAGCTGTAGAAAACTAGGCTGCGCCGCTGCTGCGCGCAGGTCATGTTGAAGAAATGTGGCAGCTGCTCGGCGTCGAGGGCATCATGACTTCCTGTGAGAGTAATGATATACCCTCTGGTAAACTAACACAACTATGTAAAATCAGCATTCTTAATGGGTAAATCAACTACCATTTTCAATAGCTATGTTTGTTTACCAGAGGGTAGGCTTTGTAAGCCAGCAACATATTCAGAACAAATCCGCTTGTATACATCTGATGATCTGCCCGTGACTTCCAAATTCACTACCAAGACCAGAAAATTCTGAAAATGTGGATTTATTCGCATTGACACTGCTTGACCTTGCTTGATGCTCTATCACCCGCGGCAACTTGCTTGGACGAGAGACAACCCAACATTTCCCCTGGATCCAAGTACCTTCTTAGGAAGTGTTTGAGGTATTTTTGGGTGTTAACTACTGTGGATCCATAGGGATTATAGTCATTATGGTTGTTCTGTCATCTGGTGTGAATGTTCGGACATGTATCACTTCAGCTAAGTTCCTGACGGCTAGCCTTCCTTCCCAAGGGGTGTTTTGCCGCTAATCTGGATCTGGGCCAGATGCTGGATCTTGGGATGCCAGCCATGACTGGGTAGCAATCATGAGTGTACCTCATATATACGCAAATATGTATATGTATAGAATGCTTACAGTGTATATAGATACATCAAATAATATATATATATACGAATATCTGTATGCACATATGATCTCATTCGTACAATATGTTTTGACACATCCTGACATCAATCATGAAAGCGAACTTGGATGGTCACCCACGGCCAACCAGGTTATGAGAGCGCGTCTCGCCGCTCAGCTGATTCGTACCATACCCTATGGATCCAGCCATAGCTTCCTAAAGGAAGTGTAACTGGAGGTGTTTGGATCCCAATAGGATAATTTGAGTCTTTGATCAGTGGTTTTGTGGGTTGGCTTGTTGAGATATGTTCATGTTCTTTTTGGATCTTTTTTGGAAGGCAACAAATTTGAGGGAAGGTAGGGGTCATGAGAAGCTATTTAATTGAGTCCAGTGTATAAAGGGGCATTAGCAACTGCTTGCAAGTTCCCTGAGCCAACTCATTGCTTCTTGATAGAAACTATTTCGGAAAGCATCGCGCATGGCATAAAGTCAGGTTTGGGATTTGATGCATGGATGCAAACAGATTCAATAGCTCTTGTTTTGTTCGAATGCTTTTGTGACACTGAAGCGGTGAAATCTAGACATATATGTTCAGCATTGCATGGGAAATGCCAGTTGTCCAAGTGGTTAGTTCTGGCAGAATTCGACAGCTAAGTGAACCAGGCTGGACATGGGTCGCTGAAAATGGGTCACTTAACCCATCATCAACAGGTGGACATTTGCCTCAAATCAGAGAACAGATCCGACCCTCGGTCTGTGCGCAAACGTGGGATGAATGGGTCCGAAGCCCAGAAAATAGAAAATCGTTCATCCTTGGGCTCGGCTTAAGATCCGTATTGTCATGGTTTGATAATGTTTGTATATATTTAGGGATACTGGTTAAACCCCCAGGTAGAAGTGGTTAACGACAGTTTCCTTTTCCAGGAATCTTTGGTGTTGTGGAAGGGCCACCCAGCTTGAAGTTCGTAATGCTCAGAAAATGGGTATAGCCAAATACAGCCCGCTCATGGTGGCTAGATTCTAGATAGTGGGTCTGGTGTCCAGATAATCACTGCACGATGGACATGTTCTGAGAAACCCTTGGGTGAACTTAAATGAGACTCATCTTTCACCAGCATGGGCACCCCAACTCTGAGGAACGCTGGAATTTCGAGCAGAAAGTGTCAGCAGCTGCTTTACGACCTTGGCGCATTCGCCGTATTTCGATCTCCTGTGGGCCCTGATCATCGCCTCGAATGCGGCCTTTCTGGGTATCCAACTGAACTTCCGGGAGACCAATTTCTTTGTGGCGCCCTGGTGATGCGAGATCTGAGAGGAAATTCGCCAAATAGGGTACTTACATGTATTTACTAGGATGTGCATTATGGTGTGTGTAGATACATATATATATATTATTAAAAATAATAAATATATTAATATTATTATTATGATAATAATAAAGATATACCCAGGCAGTCTTAAGACAAGGGAAAACTACGACGTTGTCGGAGATCAGATCAAGGTTTTACATCGACGCCACGTATATAGCCATATACATGCATAAGCATACTTATTCACAAGCATCAAGTACCTACAAGTATGATACAATTTGAATCCAACAAGCATACGCCTTTCTCTTCATCTTTCGCCTGACGACACCATGCACCTGACATAACAGATTCTGTATGGGCCAAACCACGATCGACGACACGTTGTTACTGCTGCATGAATAATGTTTGAATGCATTCTTCGCATTGCAAATCAGACCTCGAACTGTTTCTGCACGATGTCCTTGAGAATTTGTAATCTCGGATGCCTGGCGTTGCACAGTCCCATGTGAATTAACTGTTTGGATTGGATTATGCGCTCCGTGCTGAAAACAGTGAACGTTAATCATGTCTATAGTGGCATTCAGACCATGATCAAATTGCTGAGACGATGTGATAAAGACTTTCATGCTAAGAAACCGCCCAAACATGCCCAAACCATAATGGAATAGAAGGAGATTGCAAACCACATTGTAGAAGCACTACAAAACACCTAAGATCTTCAGACATCTTCAAAGCGCCAATGGATTCTGGGGATAAGAACAACAATCTACTAAACAAGCACCTGGACCAAGAGAGGAGAGCTCAGGAGATCCAGATGAACAGGGATGCCATTTTCTATGCAAAGGAAGAGGAGGCAAAGGAATGGAAAAAAAGAAAGCAGGAGGGCAGAATAAGGGCATAGTAGAGGAAGAAGCCCCCTTTGGATTGGATGCCCTCATGTGGAAGCGCAACGGTAAAGTCGCAATTGAAGATGGTGATGATGGGTACGATAGGGGATTTCCTGCCGAAGCTTGGCTTCCAGCGGTTCGAAACTTGACAAGGAGCCCGAGGCAAAGCGACTCCGAAGAGCGGACGAGGAAGAGAAGTCAGAGGCAACACCGACGGAGGTGGTCACCCACTCAGAATCACAAGAATCTGACCCAGGCCGTGGCCCCGTATGGATGGCAACTGGTCAGCCTTGGATGGTAACCGAGATGGTGGGACACCAGCAGATACTTCAAGTGAATCAACCTTTGACTCTGCAGGTGAAAGGATGGCAAAAAGAATGATGGAAGTTCAGGTCGTGTCCACAGCAGTCCAAATTGGCGCATATCCGTGCCTGGGCCTGGAGATTCAACAAAGGGAAGAGAACAAGGAACAAACACCAGATGAAATCGCCGAAAGGGGAAAGAAGGCCAGAGCTGATGTGGTCAGAATGAAGAAGATTATCAAGAAGGAAGAGTGTAGGCAAATGTAGTCAGAACGAGCTTGCAGTGGTATAGCTTTCCTACACAATCACATGAGCATCTTGGCACGCAATAAACAATAAATAAAATAGTAACATGGTCAAAGAAAACGTGTCACTGCAGGCTTGCACACATGGCACAAATGACTCGGAAGCGAGCGGAGAAGAAAGAGTGCTACCAGGATGTTGTCAAACAATAGCATGCCCCTAATCCCTGTGATGGCAATAATTCTGATTTGTCCCATTTCCACGCGCGCCCATATATTTACCTCTATAGTACGCAATCAACATGATATATAACCAAAACATGCTATCACATCACGGCCCTGCCTTCCAACTTTTGTCCCTGAGAGCCTTGTGATGGCATAGGTACGAACTGTGTTTTCTTCCTGGAATGCCCATGCCTGTGCCAGGTCGATGACTCCAGAGACGGATTCTGAGTGGTGTTCTGGTTGAATGACATGTTCTGAAAGGAAAACAAATTCAAGAAACCCAATCGTATCGACATGTATCCACACATGATGCCATTCTTTGATCGTTTGACTGTTCAGAAGTAGACACCAATGCCTGGACAGCCGGAACCTTCTCATCTTGGCTATTGACCAACCGATGCTTGACCCTCTGAGCAAAAAAACGCTCTAGCCAGAGAAAGTTTCACAAACAAATCAGTGAAGCAGTGAAAAATGATATGACATGAGGCATGGCCCTTGTTCCATCATGATTTGCTGGTTTCTCGTGGTTCCGGCTCTGGTTCCGGTGCTTGTCTCCCTTCTTCTCTCTTCTTTCTTGTCGCAGGAAAGAAGTTCTGTTCCATCGTGATTTCCTGGTTTGTCCTGGTTCCGGCTCTGGTTGCGGCGCTTGTCTCCCTTCTTCTCCTTTTTTTCAGTGTCTCAGGAAAAGGGTTTTGTTCCGCCACGATGGCATGGTTCCGATTCTACTTTCGCTTCTTGTTTTCCATCTTCCATTTCATGTTTCAGTTGCGTTTCCGCTTCTTGTTTGTCTTCTTTGATTCCATGGTTCCTGTTCCGGTTCAGCTTCCGGTTCTGGTTTTGTTTTTCATGATCGAATTGGTGTCAGCCAGTTGGTAGCGGAGGGGGCCGGCCCAAATTTCGAGCAACGAACCAAGGCAAATAAATAATCATTGAAACCAACAGTGACTTTTGAGTTGCGCGTGACCTTCGTGGAAACACGGATTGTTGCTGCTTGGCTTCTACGCTGGTGTAATTTCTCAAATTCTCCGAATTCATTCGTCATTGATTCTGCGTAGTTTTGACTTTCACATTTGAATTATTATTGTATGCCATGGTTCTCGATCAGAAGTTTTAATTTTTTGCCTTTGGATTTTGGACTCCTATATTTGGTCAGCGCCCTTGCGTGCGCCACTTAGGCGGGCGCGTGTCAAGGGAGGCTTCGCGCAGAAGGTTGGCTGGCCCGCCTGTGCCAGGAGATTGGTTTGCCACAATTTCGGACCGCCGGACCGCCAGGCGCGTGGTAGGGCTGTTGCGATGCTGTTTCGATGAGTACGCGTGTGCCATTGCAACAGCACACGCCCGATCCATATGGATGCGCAGTCCATGCAAAGATGCGCCAAATCCTCGCTGTAAGGTGATCCTGCAATATCCTTCGCTTTTGCAAGGTGGGGGTGCAAGTCTCCAATCATTGCATTGAGCAGGTCTGACGGTTCTGTGTAGGAAACTTTTGATGCCAACGCCAACCGTGGTTTTATTGATTCTTGGGGCCTGCTATATAACGCTGGGTGTCTTTTAGGTTTTGTATCTTGGGGTTCTGTCCATTGCAAGTTTATCATTGCGGGATACTGCGAGCGTCAGCTCTTAGAATAGCGGAGGCCGCAGCGACTGGGCGAGGGCGTGGCGGGATGCGCCGCCCCACCAGCGGCGCATCCTGTCATTCCTCATCGTTTTGGGCCTGGTGACGGAGAAGGGCCCCGACTCTTGGTGGTTTAACTTCGTGGCGAGCAAAAAAGTCAGGGCGATGATGATGAAGCCAGGGAACACCAAGGTTGAGATCTACTCTGCAGTTTGTTCAATTTCTTCGTGTCATAAGAATCTAACATGTTCCAACTCATACAGTCAAAACTGTTGAGCAGGGTGTTGACCACTGAGCCACATTGGGGGAACAAAGGAGGCACTGATGCACAACCCCCTGGACCCTATCAGATTGTCGGGCTGCGAACCCCAGGGCCCAAGACCCTCACCACGAAGGTCCAGGGCCAGAACCGTACCTATGAGATCTGAAACCCTCGTAGCCAGGGACCTAAGATCCTCTGGGCAGGAGATTTGCCAAGACGAGACGCGGATTGACATGGAACACATTGATATGTGCCCCGGATGAAAGACTGCAGCCGGTATAGAGCTGATAGAAAGAGCAGGGTGGCAATTACCATTCCCACAACAAATGCATTTATGGATTTACAAAGTGGATTTTGTTTCTTTTGAACATGACTCTTGGCTTGACATTCACCTTAAGAGTTTGCGCGTGATCTTGTTTGTCGGGAAGAAATCGAGCCAGAAGGCTTTCCATCTCTTGGCGAGAACTCCACTAGGTTCGTTTTTCATCCCAACACGAAGCCCTGCTGCGCATTCTCGGTTTTGATCCTCCCATGCCTAGATTGGTCCAATCTGACTCAGGTGCGTCGAGGTTGGCCACAAAATCCTGATGCTGTGGCCGATGGCGACGGAATCTCTCAAGGAACCCTGCTACCCCTGACGGTTTGTGCTTCTGTTCTGTCCTCGTTGCGAGGAAATTTTCCGCCGGGAACTTGAGACGAAATTTGAGCAGAAATGGAGGCAGTGTGGCGGCAACGTAATTATCTCAAGAAAGCATATGTCAGTACCGATTGAATTTGTTGGTTTTCTGCTTCGTGCCACCCTATCTCCATCACATTTGAGCAGTTTTTGTGTGTGAAAAAAGCACCGGTTTTTTTCACGCGGTTTTTTTTCATACATCTCCATCACATTTGAGCAGTTTTTGTTCGCGGTTCCAAACTTTTCCTAAGTCTCGACAGCAGTTGAAATAAGTTGTCAATGGTGGCGAATCCAAATCCAAGGCATCTTTCAAGTCAAGTGATACGATGTGCTCAATTGATCAACCATGTGCCATAGAGCTTCTTGTTGGGCTGGTCACCGAATAGCTTGAATTCATGTTATTGGTTGGAGGTGGGACCTTGAGCAGCAGCTGCATGGCCTGGGAGAGAAACCAAGCGTATTGCATTAATCATTAGAGATGGTTATTTCTGACGGGTTGATTCTGAGTTGGTGACATCTGTTCAATGCCCTCCGCGTCAGACCATCAACATGACCTGAGGAGTCGGTATCCAACACGTTATCATCATGAATATGTAGCCCTGTCATGCCCTGTCAAACACAACTCCCACACTCCCACATCAGAGTTCAGACAGGATAGACATAGATGAGCTCCTGAGCACACCAAAAAACCAACGCCCCCTTTTTCGTGAGCATGAGACAGCTATGGGGACAGATCATGAAACCATCCGAACCATTACCATATAATCAGCGCTTCTGATGATAAGTTGTTTTACGTATAATGTAGGAAATGCAAGCTTTTGTTCTGGATCATGACTTAGCTATGTCGCCAAACTGCTGGGTATGTGTACATATATATATATATATATATATATATGTGTGTGTGTTCATACACACAGATGTAACGAACCACAAATATCGGTTTGTCAAAGACATGCTGGAAACTATTGACCAACACATAGGAATTGATGATCAGCTATTGATATGTTGAGGCGCCGTATGGTCAGATACGTCACACACACCTGATGCATTGATGGGGAAGAATCGGGATATCACTAAATTTACAGTTGCCCAAGATCAGATATTGATGAATATATCCCCTGGTTTGTTGCGTGCGGGTTAATATTTCTTGGTCTAATTCTGGACAAAACGTGGACATTTGACGAAGGATACATTCTCCAGAAAATTGATCTTCCTTCCCACGTTTTTTGGACATATGGACGTCTGTAACAAAGAAATCTAACCTCCGGTAATTAATCACGGCAAGGAAAACCCAAACCTTTTATAGATTATTTGCTCTTTGAAACCTCCAAATATAGACGATTTCTCAGCTTGCCACATTTGAAGACACCAGAGGGTACCTTCCCAAATAGTCAATTTAATGAGAAAAACATGGATGGGTCGATTGCTCCGAGATTTTCAGCCCTCAGATCTGCCTACTGGGGCCCGCCGGCGGACTCATTGGTTGTTGCAGCAAGGGTGTTCTTTTTACATCCTCTGGTCATTGGGGAGTGTTAGAACCATTCGCAGAATTCCGAAAGAAAAAAATATCATCCATGTCCAACGTTCAACAACCGAATTAGTGTATCAATAAGATTTTCCATGGTTCATTGAGTTTTGCGTTGAACGCAATGTTCATCCTCAAAAACACCATGACTATCTGTGCAGCGAAGAAAGCCACTTCAGTGCGACACTTGTTCGAAAGTTTCGAATGGATTGACCACGGTCTGCTAGGTTCATTTCATCTATGCGTGCCTGTTTGCACTCGTATCTCGGCATGACAAGTTGCACAAAACACGGCACAGGATCACAGCAGTATGATCTATATGGACCGATACATGGTTGAGTTATGTTGAAATGATATGATGTGTTCCGATCTTTGTTATTGTTGATTATTTTTTCATTTTGTTTGATTTGTTCCATGTTATCTCTATGTACTATTTCTCGACGCTTACTTGGCGATCTGTCATTTTTCCAAATGCGGCAAAACCAAATAATGGAAATCTAACTGTGCCTCCAGAATCCTCCAAAGACCCCAGTCTATCCAATATATATATGTCCACTACATCCTTGTTTTATTTGGTTTATCCATATATCCCCAGTATAGGGATTTTTTCAAACAGACCCATGTTATATTGATTATAGTTCAGATATCATGTGATATCTCCACCCCTTTAAGAGCCTTTAAGGCTACTTTTCCGGGTGGGGACCATACCAAAATGTAAGATGCATTTTCTTGTGGGACCGAGTATGAGAACGTGTCCAAAAAAAACATGGGTACTGCAATATTTTTCGAAGGAAGTTTAGAAGTCAAACTTCCGACAATATGGAGAGATGAAAAGCAGCGCAGGGAAGAGGCATAGAGAAGAGAAAGATCAGAAGAGAAAGAGTAAGAGGACAGAAGATACAGATGCGCGAAAAGGTAGGAAAGTCGCGAAACACTGTGTTTTTCCAATGATTTGTGGCTCCGGAGGGTCGGACCCCTTTTGGAAGTTGAGATGTCGAAAACGTGCACGCCGTTGTGGCGCGAAGCACATTTCCAAGTCAAGAGTGTTAAAAACTGACGGTCTCGGACCACTTTTGGAGGTTCAGATGTCGAAAAAGTGCACGCCGTTGTGGCGCGAAGCACATTTCCAAGTCAAAATGTACAAAACACTTCAGTGTCGGACGACTTTTGGAAGTTGAGCTGTCGAAAAAGTGTACGCCGTTGTGGCGCGAAGCACATTTCCAAGTCAAAATGTACAAAACACACCACGTTCGGACCACTTTTGGAAGTTGAGATGTCGAAAAAGTGCACGCCGTTGTGGCGCGAAGCACATTTCCAAGTGAAAATGTACAAAACACACCATTCTCGGACCACTTTTGGAGGTTCAGATGTCAAAAAAGTGTCGAAAAAGTGCACGCCGTTGTGGCGCGAAGCACATTTCGAAGTCAAAAGTATAAAAAACTGGAGGTTTTGAGCCTTTTTTGACGTGAAGATGTCGAAAAAGTAGACACTGATTAACTTAACTAACTTGACTAACTTAACTAACTTAACTACCCTAACTTCGACGACAACAGCAACAGCAACAACAACAACAACCACAACAACTACAACTACAACAACTACAACTACAACTATAACAACTACACAACAACTACAACTAGAACTACAACTACAACAACTACAACAACAACAGCAACAACAACAACAGCAACAACAACAACTACTACTACTACAACTACAACCACAACTACAACTGCACAACAACTACAACTAGAACTACAACTACAACAACTACAGCTACAACAACAACAACAACTACTACTACTACTACTACGACTACTACTACTACTACTACAACTACTACAACTACTACACTACACAACAACTACAACCACACAACAGCTACAACTACAACAACTACAACTACAACTACAAAACAACTACAGCTACAACTATATGACTGCAACTACACTACACTAATTACATTACACCACAACTACAACTCCACTAGCTACAACTACAACTACAGTTGCAGTACATCACACTACATCCAGCAGTTGTGGGTGAGGTGACCACTGCAACCATTGCAACCATTCCAGCAAACACAACTCCAACCACCTTTCGGTCAATCAGTGGATTCGCTCTGCCATCCGTGATTCACAACAACAAACGTCTCCTATAGGTTTCCTATTTTTGAAACTTCCGCCACCGCCTTGCGCGGTACTACTGGTACGGATGATGAACAATGTAGTCAACCCAATACCATGAACCTAGCACTTGGGGATGGCTTATACCACCCATGGAATTGTGATATTGGGGATGGTGTATGACCTTGCGCTCCCGGTGCCCTGAAATCTTGACGGGCTATGATTGGAATTGCTGTGGTTTTGACTGAAAATATGGTACCTCAAAATCCTATGCTTTCTCGTCATTTTCCATCTTGAATTTGCAATGATTTGGGATTAAATCCTCCAGTTCCTCACGAAATCCATTGTGTTCCCATAGTTTCCTGCGTTCCTCCGTGTTTTCCTACATTTTTCTCAAATGTTTCCATGTTTTTTCCCACGTGTTTCCCAACATTTTCCCCAGATTTTCCAATGTTTTCCTTAGTTTTCCCACATAGTCCTTTCAATTTCCCATGCTTTCTTCACATTTTCCTATATTTTCCAAGTTTTCCATATGTTATTCCCCACGTTTCCTGCAGGAGTTGCTCTTGCGCGTCGTCTCCGATGGTCCGCGGCGCTATTTTTTGGGCCGCGGCTGGGCCTGGAGCCTTGGCTGTTGAACGGCTTTATAAACCACCAACAATTCTAGGTATTTTACCCTATGGTTATATCCCAACTTTAATATGTTTTTTTGTAGACATACGTAGAACATATGGTTTATAGATTATGGTTTATGAGGGATTTAATTACAGACATAGACATATGATATAACTATGCTCTATAGAAAGAAACATTGGTTAATTAGGTGAAAATTATATGGTTTAAGTGGGTGAAAATCCTATTGCTCATAGATATATATATATATGATAAGGTTGGAACCTCCCGCAGACCGGAAAGCACCCAGACACAGCTGGAAGCCCATTATGGTGGTTTCCTGAGTCATGAGTCATGACCACGACTTAGTATTGAAACCTGTGGTGACTTGGGGTTCCTTTCGGTGAAACAGATATACTTCACCCAGAAACCCTTGCATAGATCTACGAATCTACTATAGATAGATATCATAAACTATTTTGTGAATACACCAACTACATATATATATATATAGAGAGATATATATATATATAGATCTCTATCCATCTAGCGTTTATAGTCCTATGATTTTAATGGTGTGTAAGCCCACTATAGTTTGATATAAATTACCTATATATATTATATAGCTATAGTTATATCCCAACTTTAGTATGGCTTATGGTAGACGCACCTAGATATGGTAGATATGACTCTAAATATATGATTTACCTATGCTGTATATACATATATAAGCTGCGGTTAACTGGTTAACTATATAAGTACGTAAATAAATATAGCTCATTGGGTTATAAAGTTAATATAGTGACAACATGTTATAACTACAGTCAATGAGTTTCTAACTATCTTCCAAAAACCATAAAAACCAACTAACTAAGTTATGGCTAAAGTTTATGGTAGATGATTTGCCTACTAAAAAGTGTGATGTTCCCATAGCTATGTGAAATTGACAGATGGTATAGTAAATGTGATTAATGGATGGTTTGTAAGTATGATTTTGGTCGATATAACCATAGATATAACTAGGATAGATGTATATAGGTGATGGTTTGTGGCTTTATATGGTTCAATTTAACTAATTTGGGGTATAAACCCCTTGACTATATGTTTATTTGCCCACTTTTAACTGGAACTAATTTGGTAACTAGTATAGCTGCTGGACTTTTAAGGGTTTATGCTTGGAATATAAAATCGTCCGCTACTCGAATCAAATGAATGGAATTAAACCTCCACAAGTTGGGAAATAAGCCCTATAACTACAACGACTTGTCTCTGGATGTGACAATACGTGCATCCAATCTAATGGGAATTCATGGGTATATCATGGAATTATACAATTTAATTGGTTCAGAATAGGATTCAATGGGGACACAATGAAATATAATCTACTTGGGGGTGCAGTTGGGGTTATGTTTACGGGTATAGTTTTTAGATGTTAAACCCCTATAAGTTGGGAAATAACACCTATTTTTAACATGTTTTAACTGCATGCTCAATGTTCAGTATAACCAGCTACAACTGTTGGAACAAATTGGTTAATCACTAAAACATGTTTATAGATAGATAGATAGATGGATAGATAGATTAGATTAGATTAGATTAGATTAAGTTAGATTAGATTAGATTAGATTAAGTTAGCTTAGATTAGATTAGATTAATACTGATTAGATTAATACTGATTAGATTAATACTGATTAGATTAATACTGATTAGATTGGATTAGGTTAGGTCAGATTAGATTAGATTAGATAGATACATAGCTAGATAGCTAGATAGCTAGATAGCTAGCTAGGGTTCATGGACGTTTATCGTACACATATCTTATAGCTATAGTCAATGGTAAAATCACCGCGCCTTTTGTGGATTTGATGCGGCCGTTGTGAATGATCCTGATAGAATTTTGGAGCATCCCTCTGCTCATTGGGATTTACAGCATGGGCATTTGCATGAGCCCAAAAATAAACGGGATGTGTTAGGATGCCAATCAGTGGGATCCATGTGGGAGTCAATGGAGGGATTGACCCAATAAGTCAGTTCAATCAGCAGCGATTTTTTGGTGATTTTTGGACAATACGGGTTGTTCTACCTAAAATGTTGGTAGACCTTCAGGGTAAACAGCAGTTCACCCTCAAATTGGACAATTCAAACACTGCCAAGATGTGGGTCACCTCGGCCGTGAAATTTGATACGCAACCCAGAAGAGGGGCTGTGTAGCAGCAATAAACTGGGCTATAAACAGCATGAACTGGGGATATAAGCTACCAATAAAATTAGTTAGAATTCAAAATGGCAAACCACCCCCAATGACAACCTAGAAATGGATGTAAACCATCCCGATGTTTTGAAACTGGTTTACTACATAGCCGCTATGACATAGTCTTTTTGGAAGCGTTGGAGTTAACGGGACAGGGTTGCTCCAAGCTATTGCGAGTCCTGATTCCTACAAGGAGGGGGAAAAACTTCTGGTTTCACCACTTGAAATTGCCAAGTGTCCCGTTCCTTGTAGCATGTTGGGAGCAAATATATCGATGTTTTGTGTGAATTATTGTCCAGTTGCCCGGATATACTACGTGGTTCTACTAAGAGAGCTCCGGGGATTCTCATGATGTATCGTGGGAAATCATATTGAAAACTCTCAACTATTGTCGATTCTCAACAAGTGCCCTCTGTTTTGTTTACATCACTCTGGGAAATCACCATCTTTGATAATAGGTAAATCAAGTGTACATCATACAAATGACAAATTCTCTATAGCTATATTAACCCAGAAATCCATGAAAAATGATTGAAGTGACTTCAGTGGATGCACCTTTCAGGCTGCCTTGATAAAAGGGACCATTTTTGATGGGAAACAGGCATCACTGACAGGGTTTAGGCATAGCATAGGACAACTAAAATTCACTGAAAATAGATGTGGACATGTCGAAGTTGTCGCTCAGCTCATGTTCTCATGGGCCCAACATGAATGGTCACCGTGGCATTATGGAGGAATTCTCAACATGTTACCAGATGATTGAGCTGGTTTTGGGCCATGCAACTCCATGGCCGCCAGGTTTTTCTCCATTCACAAACAGAAAGTTTATGGTGCATTTCTATTTCAATTTTAGGCGAGCTTTCCACTTTTGCTGTGATGTTTTTTCTTTTTGTGGTCAGAGATTCTGCGATTGGAGTGATACCTCGCCAACAGATGGTTTACTATATGCAGTTGGTATATAACAAATATATAGATATACATGATGGTTCCCAGCCATTCCCTTAGACTTTGAGCTTTTTTGGGGATCATGGTAGTTTATACCTGATGTAGAAGTTAAACTTTTACTCGGGGAGCTGCAAACCAACCAGTATTATATATTATATATTGATATAACTATATGTATGTATATATATATATACATATACAGATATATATATATATATGAGTTATACATATATACATATAGATATATTATATATACATATATAAATATTATATATATACATACATATTATATTATATTATATATATACATACATACATATTATATATATACATATGTGTATACATACGTATTATATATATGTGTGTACATACATATTATATACACTGAGGTTTTAGATGGTTTGATAAATCTAGTGCGGTAAATCCAACAAGAATCCCCCAATTCGGGATGATGGACAATCCATCACCAGTGATGGTGTCGACCTGGACCAGGAATTGGTTGGACGTGCTGGTGGTTTCTGCTGCGGCTCGTTCGGAACATTTCTCCAAGGTGCAAAACTTGTGCCAAGTGACTTTAAAACATGTAATTTCGGCTCAAAACAAAGAAATGAGGACAAGTCAAAACCATTCAAAACCTTGTAGCCCTGGTGAAACATCAAAATATCTTGTAAAGAGGATTTTCCTGCAACCTTCAGGAGACGTTTCTTATCTATCTTTTAGAGACTGGCTCAGCATTCCAGACCTCTGGCACACCCCTGGTTTTAAAGTGGCCATAGTAAAACTGCAGGAGAATAGTCACAGAAAACACTGGGAAAGCCTTGCTAGGGTATCAGTTCATAGATGTTCATAGTTCAATGTTCACCAGTAAAAGTGCCTAAGACATGGGTGAATATCATTCTAGTCATCCCCAACCTTGGATAGGTAGTTTAATCCTGTAGTGTTTTGCTATATATATAATAGCCAGCAAAATATTATTTGTTTGTGGACTACCAATGATTGACCACAATAGTAAATAGTAAGCTAAACCATATTATCTCCCATTATAATAGTACTCCATATTAAAGTAACCATATTATAATCCACTATACTGTAACTGGTTCTTGTTTTGCCTCCAAAATTCGTCGTGCAGCGGTTCAACCGGTTCCGGCGCTGAGGCGTGGATCGATATCATTCTGGAAGTCTTGGGATCAAGCGCGCCTTGGTGGCTGGTACCTAGCTGGCCTAGCTGGCCTAGCTGGAACTTATGGATGTGCATCCTCCCAGTCATATGGCATATCTAGGATAATTGTGGTCGGATATTACCGGACCTGGTAGGATGTTTTGGAATGCTATAGGACGGTGTACGATGTTCTAGGATGTTACAGAATGTTATAGGATGTTATAGGACCTGATATGCCCTTTTTGACCCGTCACGAGAATCCATGGAACTTTCGGTGGGGTTTTGAAGAAGGACCCTTTAAAATAAAAGGCACCGCAGTGCGGAGAAGTTGGTCAGAACACTACATCTTAAAATGTTGGCTTCCACTGAAGTTCCACTTCACGTTAATTGAGAGAGGCATTGAATCAAATTGAACAGAATATCTATATATATATATCTCTCTCTCTCTCTCTCTCCCTTTGAATGTGCATATTAATATTGGTTTCCGACTGGGATAGTCCAAGTTGGGTGCATCTCCGATGGCGTCTGAATGTTACAGTCCCATCCTGCTTTGTACTCAAAGAGCCGGTGTCTGCATGCGGTACACAGGGGAACCACAGCGGTGCAGCCCTGTGGCAGGTGCTGTACAAAACAACCCTTTGAGGCTGGATAACAGCGGTCGTGCAGTGATGTCCGCCCGTCTCTGCTCGGTACGCCAAAGACGGTCACGTCTACACTTCATTAGAAGAAGAAGAAGAAGAAGTATGAGCAGCTGCTGCCCTACGATTGCCATCAGCTGCAAAGAGTGCCGCGTCAGCGCGCAGCGCCGTGTACATTTCATTGGCTCATGCCATGTGTCCACAGGAAATCTTGCATCTCACACATGAGGGCCACAGCACATGCGGAGCCTATGTCAGCGTCCGCTATTTGATACTGATGGGATGCAAACATCATGGCACATCACAGCCAAGCATTTGTAGCATTTGCTAACAAACATGGGAATCCCTATGTCCCCCCAGAGTGAAGGTAAACACCGCAAGCACCTTCTACGTGTTTCTGAAGTGCAATGGATATGTGCCTAAGCACCGCCAGCTCAAGCCTGTCACTCGCAGGGATCAGCCGTCTCAGCCATACTACTGTAACATACTGTAACTGGAAAGGCCTGTGCCAGTGAGTCCAAGGGGGGTATAGCCACAACATGCCATAACCCGTCCCGGGCCATGCTTTCCGCATGCTTTCCCCAATGGAGAGCTTCCAAGGACAAAACGGACGTGAATTCGAGTGTCCGGGTGTTGAGACTCTTCCGAGTGTCTCGCTTGCTGCGGATCGTCAAAACCATTTGGATCGTGAGATGCTCGGAGATGTTTGTTTTGCGTGACATGCTGGAGACACATGAAAGGGTTTGAAATCGGATGTGAAAGGTTCATACATTCCTTGTGGGTTCAATGTCATCCGGTTCGGGGACGGTATAAAGCCAATACCTATGATGAGGATGTTATATTGTACCCCGCTCTGTCGCAACCGGAAGGGTCAGATGTGGTTGGCTGTGGGTTGAAGCCGAAAACAAGCAGGACCTAGAACCTGATGACCAACGGTACAGTTGGCTGTTGCTTTAAGATGCAGGATGCTTTAGGGATGTTTTTCTCACGGTGGGCCTCTGGGATTGTCCAAGCACCAAGCATAAAACCGGGTACCTCAATGGTGACCAGGGGGATTCATACCGGATTCAGTGCGGTGCACCAGAAAGTCTTTCTGAAAGCCTCCTCTTACCGAGTCAGGGCTCCACGCAATCTCCTGGTGGGTAGAATTCTTCGTCACCCAGGTGGTCTCTCCTCACAGCCGGACTGGGCCCCACGGACCATGCCAGATAAAATTGTCAGATAGAACGTCAGAATATGTTTCAGGTAAAATGCCACAAAAAAAAAACAGAAAAATGACAAGTAGAATGTGAGGTAGAGTGTCAAATATATACATCAACATCAAATAAAATGTCAGAATGGTCTGGATCACTGGAAGAAAGTGCTTTTCTGTTTGTGTTTTTAAATCATAGACCTATTTCTTCCCATCCCTTTGCTTCCAGCGATTCACCCCAATTGACGGATGTTTGTGGAGTAGGTAGTGACACAGTGGCACATGGGGCCATAGATATCCTTTCCCACCTGGCTAGAAGTCCAAGACGACCCTGAGTTGACTTTCGTGTTTCAATCCGGCGACCAGAAAAGTATTATACCATATTATACCAACCACCCAAAACAGGTAGAAGTTTGTAAAATCCTATACAAAAATGTCACAAATTGGACCTTCTCTATTTGGGGGTTACATGGGGTTACTATATGTAAGTATATAGTATATACTTATTTATATTTAGCTATTTATATATATATTAGTTATGTACGTGTATATATATATTTTTTATTATTCTATATATATATATACACACAACAGCTATCACCAGCTCCTGTTTTTCCCGGGCATAATTCCAGGGCGAAACGACCCAGGATTTGTGGGCGCCTTGAGGACATTGGTGTCCTCCCTGGTTGACACCTTGCGCCTTGCTGTGGTCCCGGTGTGACCAGAGCATTTTTGTCAGTAAGGAAAATGTGCAAAAGAAACACTTGGGAGTTGTAAAATGTAAACTTGGTGAGCCGACTGATGTTTGCTTCAACATGGGAAAATGAGCTGTGATGAAATGTTCACGTACATAACATGACTGTCCCTGCTTCTTGAAAGGTATCCAGGCATCGAGGAAAATTGGCCATCAAGTCGCCAAGATGAGTTTGTTAGATTTTTGACACCAACCGCAGAGTTCTTGGAAGCAATCTTGACAATCAGCAGGGTGGCTGTCAGGTCTTCTGATTATGTTTTGACCTATTGCCCTGGCCTAACCTGAAAACTCAGACTTCGGCCCCCAGAACTTGAACGATATCCCTTGCTCAACTTGCCTTGGCGGAGAACCTCCACCATATTTGGGTAATGTTAATGGAGAAATCCAATAGTCCAGTTCTTGTCCTTGGGTTCTTATCCTTGCGCTTCACAGAGCTTCAGTGATTGAAATGCGTTGGCTTGTGAGTTCATGTTTCATCTATACTATATACCTAGAGCCTCCAACTACCCAAAAACATGCAATCGTATGAAAGCTACCATTTGGACAGGTGCTTGGAGGGTGTAGGTGTTTTTCTTGCCGTGCAGTCATGAGGATCATTCGGGTTACTATTCCAGGAACCGGTCAAATCTCTGGTTTTCTGCGACCCCGGTGATTAAAAGGTGATTAATAACTCTAAGTACCCTGGTGTACCCTGTATGACAGATGGTGATTAAAAGTAGCTTTCTGCAATTGGCGTAGTTTCAGCACGCATCCGTCTTTGTAAACATTCCTGCCAGCAATGGTTGTGTATAGTAATTGGTGGTGATTCCAATATCCTTCACAGACCCTGTTTTTGACCATCACCTCTGAAAAAAAACCTGACTGACGCGGATTGGCCCTGGTATCAGGAAGCCACTCTTCTGGGCCATGGTGCTTCTTTTTATCATCATTTATATTGCAGGAGACGTCGCATCTGTGAATCCATCACGTCATCTAGATTCTAGGTATATGTATTATATATATATATATATATGTGTGTGTGTGTGATATGTATGTATATATATATATATGTTTTATATGTGATATATGTGTGTATATATAGTGTGTTTGATTGGTGTTTGAACAACCCAGCCAAAACAATTGTTGAAATCAAGGCGAGTCACAACAGAGATGACTAACTGACTCCAATTGCTTAGCACATAGCACACAATGTCATGCTGGTTGTGGGCACGTTGGGGTTTGAGCCAAACCCAGTTTTCTGGTTCGTGGTTGAAGATATTTATTGGTGGGTTGAGCCTCCAAGACCGCACTATGTATCCAATAGAGCAAGATTCTGCACACTTTTTCCTCCCATTGTGGTAGGTGGATGTAGGCGGGTGGTTCCCACAAGATGGAGCTGGAACCATCCGTGGGGCAAATCAATTCCTGTGATGTGAGCCCTGCATCGGAATTTAAGACTTGGGAAGAGAAAGGTTAGCTCAATTTAGTCATTTCGATGGGCATTTATCCAAGTGTGGAATGTCACTTGAATTGCATACACAGTGAGCATCCCATGTGTCATACGCCATCGGAGCCAGAGACACTGCATCCAGTATCTGGGATTCTATGCCAATTCTATGCCGTACATCCCCCGAGCCGTGCGAGTACCTTGTGAGCACCGCTGGTGCAAAGCTGGTTACACCCGGTTTTTTTAAGACAGAGGCAAAAGCACTTGGAGGTGACAACTGCAGTGAAACTCAGTCAAGATTGAAATGCAGTCTCTGAGTGAACAAGGAAGGCCAAGTGTCCCCAGCTCGATCTCACAGCGATCCAGCCCCTTTGATCCAATCCCAGAGGGCAACGTGCAGGAAGATGATTGTTCATATCACCAGTGCTGGTGGCAAAACCACTGCTTATCATATCATGTGCTTTTTTCTTGACAGCACTACTTCTGCTGGTATGTTTCTCAATGTTGGCTTTTCCTTTCCCAATGACCATCAATGAGTCTCGGCGCTCCGGGCTTGTGCAACCTACCCATGTTGTTGCAGTTGAAGCTCCCTCTGACATATCGATTTTTTGGATCTTCTGTAAACATCAGATTCTTGGGGATATAAACCAACAAAACAGTGGTTTAGGCTCAGGCGCCGCCGTTCGCCCAAACTCTGAACTGTCCCAACTTACCCATGTTCCCACGTTAAGCTTCTGCACTCATTGAAGATCTTCAATAGGGATTAATTCCCCCATATAAGCCTGAGTGTGTCATGCCATTGTTCTATGTGGAGGAAACCGAAGATGCTTAAAAAGAGCTCAAACAGGGGTTTTGGAAAACGAGTTTTCGAGGACCCTTGCAGCAGTCACAAATCCAAAAGCCGTTTACGATCTCACAGTCATTTTGTACGGGAATTTCCACGGTTTTGGCTCTTCGTCGCGACGTCATGAATTGCTTTCCGGGCAAATGGCGGCTGGCCGGTGGTTCACCATGACTAATTGCTATTCAGGTGATTGAATCTTAAGAAGGGGCCCCCCTCCCCATCTTCCCGCGCCCCTCTTTTGCGTTAGCGGCACAGGAGTTCTATTTACAGATGTGGTCCTGGAGCACAAAGAAAACCATGCCCTGCGGACAAAACAGAAAAGGGGCAGGGCGAGTTTTGAGTTTCTAATCGATGACCTTTTGGATCTAATCAAACATGGCAATGAAAATCCCCCATAAAGAAGACAGTTTCCTACTTACATCCCCAACCTTGGATAGTTTAATCAGCTTCATCCTTTAGTTAAACTGCTGTGGAAAATAACCATAACCATCAAAAGTGTTGCTGTGGAAAATAACCATAACCAGCAAAAGTGTTTTTTTGACCAAAGATTGACCATGCTTGCCCATCTTTAAGGGGAATTTCCTATGGCTGGTGTTTGACAGGGGCCATTGGTCGGATCCCCCCGTGCCGACCAAGCGATATGTATTGATGGTATTGTTCTTGTTGATGGATTATGGTGGAAAAAATGCATTGTTGATTATGGTGGAACAACAGTCCACAATAATCATCAATCATCTATTGGTTAGTTGTTGACACAATGTGGCTTTGTCCAAAGTTGATAGCCCAATTTTATGGTCTGTTGATGGAGAAACTTGGAAAATGATCAACTTTCCAATTCTGCACCAAATTTCTATGACAGCCCCTGAACTTTATCTCGGGCAGAAGTATCCGTGGCTGGGAGACCTGGTGAAGTTCTCACTTGAGAAAATCATCGATCTGTGACAGAAATATCCTACAAATCCCTTAAAAGTTAAGCGCAGTAAAAGAGGTTCGATGGGGTTCAGTCACTGCAAAGACATGCTTGGAAAATGCGTGATTTTATTCTCTTGCAAGGAAATTCCAAAGACGCTTTATTGATGGGAAGGAGGGTGGTGATCTTAAATCTTTTATTTCCCTAGTCACTGGTCAGAACCAAAGACCCCACAAGAGGCCGAGAAATCCTCCACCCTTGATCTTCACCCAACTGCTACACCAAATGGACAACTGTTTGCGTGTCCTTGTGACTTACCACAACGAGAAATTATGGCACTGAACTGCCGAAAAGTGCTTTGAATACCAAGGGATGTTGAAGCAACGAGCACTGTAGAACTGCAATCTTCGGGTACCTAGGAGCAAGATGCCAATGCTACTCGCTTCTTTGGCTCCTTGTCGGTTTCCATCGAGACCCTGTCGCTGGGCTGTGCCGGAAAGTGTCATGTGAGTCCCAGAATGATCCAAAGGTTTTGATCCCAAGCAGGTATGGGATGCTTTGAGCTTTGTGACTGCGATCTGTTGGAGCCATTTTCCAAACTCCAACTGTTTGCCCTTGTCCAACATGCATTTTGTTTGATGCGTTTTTTTTCGCAATGCTAATTGAATGTGTCTTCACTTTCAGAAGCTACGAGCCAGTCCCATGCAGCCTATTGGGGGAAGCTGCTCTCCTGTTCTCCCAATGACTTCAGCTTGAATTCAGTAAGGAATTTAACAGTAACCGAGGTAGCCGCAGTGAGACCCGACAGGAATTCCAATTCTATCCAATTCTTATCTACGCCATTCCGATTTACTGTAAGTGTATTGTGGCTCCTGCAATCCAAGCCCCAGGCCAGGTCGGTTCCAAGTAGTTTCGATGTTCCCAAGAAGAGATGACCCAGGCAAGGTGAATCAGTAGGCAGATGTTCCTATTGCTTCATCTTCCAACGTTTGTTTTCCTTTAGATTCTTTAGATATCCCTATGAATGAACCATCATGAACCTCTTTGAGCTGCTTCAGGTGTATATTTTGATGGTTGAAACGAACCCCGCCTTTTTTCGAAAGCATTATCCCATGTAATAATGTGTCACTGCAACGTTTTAGAGGCCAACCAGATTATCCGTACTCGTACGGATAGATTCAGAACCATAGACTAGTTCAATATGATTTTACAAACAATGTAATATATTCATATATAATTATTTACATATATACATATATATATACATCTCTTTGACAACTTTTTGCCAAAATTATAGCAGTTTTGATATACGAGTTTTCATAAGCTAGTTTGATAAACTATATAGTTGTTCATTCATGGTTGTCTTCATGGTCTTAAACCGGCTGGTCTATTTATTTCCAGGCATGGAGATCATGTCGAGTCCAGCCATGGTGGGATGCGGGGATAAGCTGATAAGTTCAGCTTCAAAGGTGGGGCCTTTTGGGCTATATAAGCTATACATTGGATTCATTGGATGGTTATGTTGTGCTTCGATTGGTTGATCCGGTTGATCCCATCCAATGTTCAGTTCGTTGGTGCAGGCTGCATGCATCGGTTTTTCCGAGGGGCTGTTAAGATCTGTCAAGTATCTAAGTGTCCCAAAGGCGAATGTCAAATTCAGATGTTTCTTGGCACCAGTGTTCCTTGTCTTTGTTCGTATGCTTGTGCGCTTTTGAACGGCCCATTTGCATCCATTTGCTACACATTTAGCTGGGATTGGCCCATGGATCGGAATGAAACACCGGCTCGGGACTCAAACCACGGGATTCCTTGCGGTGAAAAATGTTGATTTCTTGCTTGAAAACGACTATGACCCAATTCTGGTGCCTTTGAATTGGGTCACCAATTTCAGGAGTTGACTTCTTTAATTTTTTTTTGATGGGCCAAATGATGGTATCTTCTATGGGTCTTTCCAGAAATGGTTGGTTCACATATCTTCGCTCCATCGAAGCTCGTCCAGGTTTCGCTCCATCTCTGGAGGCTACGACTGGGCCGGAGCGGCAGATGCCTTGAGACCCTTGGGTGAGGCGGGGAGAGATGGAGATGGGGCACCCATTTCTACATCTATAATATTAATATAGGTATAATATGGTATAATATGTGTCTTAAATGTTGATATGTCTATACTATATATTAGTATAGGTAATATATTTTAGTATAGGTATAATGTCTAATATTGATATATTGATGGTAAAATATGTATAATACATATAGATCCATTGATAATATAGGTGTATATATATATACCGATGCCAATAATGTGTAATTTACATACCAGTAGTTCCGGCACAAGGCGGTGGCGGAAGTTTCAAAGATAAGACACTATAAGAGAGGTGAGTCGCTGTGATGCATGGATGGCAGAGAAAACTCACTGATCGATCGAAAGGTGGCTGAGGCGCTGAGTCTCTCTCTCTCTCTCTCTCTCTGTCACCTTCTCTCTGTGTCTGTCTATCTGTCTATCTGTCTATATCTTATGTAGTGTAGTTATAGTTCTAGTGTAGTTGTAGTTGTAGCTGTAGTGTAGTTAGTTGTAGTTGTAGTGTAGTTAGTTGTAGTTGTAGCTGTAGTTGTAGTTGTAGCTCAGAGCAGTGTAGTCTAGCGTAGTGCAGTGTAGTGTAGTTGTAGTTGTAGTCTAGTGTAGTTGTAGTTGTGGTTCTAGTTGCAGTTGCAGTTGTAGTGGTAATTGTCGTGAAGTTTCGTGTAGTGTAATTAGCGTACTTGTAGTATTTGTAGTCTGCTGTAGTGTATTGTAATCGTAGTCGTGGTTGTAGTATTTGCGTGCACGTTTTCAACATCTGAACGTCCAAAAGTGGTCCGAGACCGTCAGTGTTTATTACTTTTGACTTCCAAATGTGCTTCGTGCCACAACGGCGTGCACTTTTCCACATCTCAACATCCAAAAGTGCTCCAAACCCGGCAGATTTTCATAGTTTTTGACACTTTTGACTTCCAAATGTGCTTGGCGCCACAAAAGTGTGCTTTTTTTCAACCTCTCAACTTCCAAAAGTGCTCCGAGCACGAGGTCCTTTGCGCATTTTGACTTGGAAATGTGCTTCGCGCGCCACAATGGCATGCACTTTCGAAACCTCTCCACTCCCAAAAGTGCCCTGAACCCATTAGTTTTTAACACTTTTGGCTTCGAAATGTGCTTCGCGCCACCGCGGCGTGCAGTTGTTCAAGATCTCAACTGGCAAAATAGCTCGGAACGTGAGGGGTTTTTAGCCTTTGACTTCGAAATCTGCTTCGCGCCACAAAGGCGTGCAATTTTTCATCTCTCGTCTTCCCAGATGGCTCCGCGCCCGCCGCTTTAGCAACTACTTTTTGACCCTCCGGAGCCACAAAACATGGGAAAAACACAGTGTTTTGCGATTTTTCTACCTTTTCGCGCACCTTGATCCTCTTTCTTCTGCAATTTTCTTCTCTGATCTTCTCTCTTCTTCCTTTCTCTTCTCGGACTGCTCTCCCCGCTGTTGCTGCATCTGTCCATATTGTCGGAAGATAGACTTCTAAATTTCCGTCGGACATAGGTATTTTGGCAAGATACTTTAGTACTTGAATCTTTTCCTACCAATGCTAAAAAAGGTACAAACCAGCAAAAAAAAACTATGTTGCATTTTTGACAGGTATCTAAGACTCACTTTGAACTTGGAGATCAAAAAAATGTATGATTGTATAATCATTGTACATCCATTGATGGTATTTTATTATATGTAGCAATTCTACTTGGACAAACATCATCTATTTCATAGGGTTTTGATGGTATAATCTTTTCAAAAAACATATATATTTACCAACAGTGTATAACCTGTGACGGTGGATTCTCCAAACAATTCGTGGAACATCGAACATGAACATCACCAGAGTAACATCACACAAGTTTGAGTGAGTCTGAAAATCAGGTATGCCCCCGATGTATGGCAAGTTTATTGGAGAAAATTATGATCCTGTCAAATGGGTGATCATCAGCAGGAACCGCTTGATTTGACTACCATGCGCAACTTACAAGGCTTGGGGAGCGCTGATGATACACAAGAATGTAAGAAGTGCTGACCCACACGTACCCATTTTGGCTACACCTCTAGGTTAGCTCGCTTTTGGTTTAGCCCTGGAGCATCCGGTCAAACTTGGATGTGAGGTATCCTCCCCCCTCTCTTCAGGAGCATTCCCTCCATTGAAAGTGTTGGGTTGAGTTAGCTGGCACTGTATGGGAGAGACTGACGGTGGTGAATCCCAGCAATATACCAGTAGAAGTAGAAGCCAGTAGTAGCCGCAGACTTCCCGGTGTCAGGTCAGGTGTGACTCCCCATTTGTGATGTCAGGTTTGGGTCTTGCTCTTTCAAATCTACATTGCAGCTTGGCCCCAGATGTGAACATTCAGCCAGCTTGGTCATGTTTGTTCTAGCGGGTGGAAAACGGCGCGTGCATATAGCTGTAACCTTTTTTGAAGATGTACATGTTCCAACGTTGAAAGTGGAGTTGGGTGGGGTGGAGTGGGGCAAGAACGTTCAAGCTATTGCGGGACAGCCGTAAGTACCTTGGTAACACATGGTGCACCTTGCTACCCCAAACTAACATATGAAAACAATGCAGGTCACGAAGCTTCCAATCATAGCAAGACTTTTTCTGGCATAAAGAAGAAAAATGGAGCATATTCCTGGCCCACAGAGGTGGATGGCATGTGGAACATGTTCGAAAATTCCATCTCAAGTTCTTTGCGCACCCACAAAATGGTGCTGTCAATTCTTACTTGCTTCAGGGATTCGAATTTGGCAATGGAGATGGACAATAGAACTCCCAAAGATTACTTGAGTCTCACAGGACATGCCCTAAGCGAACGCTTGGATGGACCCTGGCCGAAGTGAAAACTGACCACCGTTTTAAGAACAGAAAGCCCTGCAAATACCACTTTCCCAGGCACAACCCAGAACAATTTCCATGATAAAATGAGCACGACGCCCCAACGCCAAGCACAAAGGAAAAACGCACTCAGCCACTAGCGCGGTTCCCCACCCGCCTGGGTGTTTGTGTGGCCAACCTTCTTTAAAGGGCCACAAGGGTACAGAGTACATGTTCACATGTTGTTCTTGTTCTTGTTCTTGTTCTTCTTGTTGTTCTTGTTCTTGTTCTTGTTCTTGTTCTTCTTGTTGTTGTTGTTGCTGTTGTTGTTGTTGCTGTCGTTGTTGTTGCTGCTGCTGCTGGTTTGTTTGTTTGCTTGCTTGCTTGTTTGCTTGTCTGTTGTGTTGTGTTTGTTTGTTGTGTGTGTTTGTTGTGTTTGTTTGTGTGTTGTGTTGTGTTGTGTTGTGTTGTGGTTGTGGTTGTGGTTGTGGTTGTGGTTGTTGTTGTTTGTTGTTTGTTGTTTGTTGTTTGTTGGTTGTTGTTGTTGTTGTTGTTGCTGTTGTTGTTGTTGCTGTTGTTGTTTTTGTTGCTGTTGTTGTTGTT